CTCAAGGCTAGCGCTCTACCACTTGAGCCACAGCACCACTTCCGGCTTTTTTCTTTTTGTTTATGTGGTGCTGAGGAATTGAACCCAGGGCCTCAGGCATGTAAGGCAAGCGCTCTACCACTGAGCCACCTTCCCAGCCCCTGCATACTACTTCTTGAGCCACACTTCCAGAACTTTTTAAAAATTTTCCTCACTAGGGTTATACATATGTGCCTTGGCTAGCCTTCATTAATATCTCAGGATGCTATAATTTCCTTTGTATTCTTATTACTAGTAGCTTAGCTTAGACCATAATGTCTTTCATTTTTAACAGCCTGTATTCTGTGACATATAATCTATATTCTAGTTTTCTTTGTTTTTCCTTTTTGGTCCCTCATGGGCTTGAACTCTGGGCCTGTGCGCTGTCCCTGAGCTCTTTAGCTCAAGGCAAGTGCTCTGCCACCTAAGCCACAGTGCCACTTCTGGTTTTCTGGTGGTTAATTGGAGGTAAGAGTTTCACGAACTTTCCTGCCAGGGCTGCCTTTGAACCACGATCCTCAGATCTCAGTCTCCTGAATAGCTAGGATTACAGGTGTGAGCCACCAGCACCCAGCTTCTAGTTTTCTTTCAGTTGTTTCTTTTTTTTTGTAGCCCGTCAGTATGAAAGAATGCTATAACTAAACTGTCAACCAAATCTTGTTTGACATACTTACCTGTTTCTTTATCACTTTGGTTACTCTCTTCCTGGTGGCACTTAACATTTTAGTTTAGTCTGAATTTTCAGCCTTTATAAATGATTTTGAATCAAATTTGGTCTTTTTTTTTTTGTGGCAGCTATGGCTCCCAGTTTTCTGTCACCTGCAGATTTGATGTGTATCTTCATGTCATCAACTAAAAATAGTGCATAAGACCAAGTACAAAGCTTGATATTATTCTTTTTTTGTCAGTCATGGGGCTTGAACTCTGAGCTTGGGCGCTGTCCCTCAGCTCTTCAGCTCAAGGTGGGTGCTCTACTGTTTGAGCCACAGCGCCACTTCCGGTTTTCTGGTGGTTTATTGGAGATAAGAGTCTCACGGACTTTCCTTGTCCGGGCTGGTTTTGAACCACGATCGTCAGATCTCAGCCTCTTCAGCAGCTAGGATTACAAGCATGAGCCACTGGTGCCAGGCTTGATATTATTCTTTTAATAGTTAATATCTTTTTTTTTTTTTTGGGTCCGGTTGTGGGACCTGAACTGTGGGCCTGGGCGCTGTCCCTCAGCTCTTCAGCTCAAGGCTAGTGCTCTACCACAGCACCACTTCCGGCTTTTTTCTTTTTCCTTATGTGGTGCTGAGGAATCGAACCCAGGGCCTCAGGCATGCAAGGCAAGCGCTCTACCACTGAGCCACCTTTCTAGCCCCAGTAGTTAATATCTTGGTTGATAAAAAGCACTGTGCTTGCTAGGTGCCGGTGGCTCATGCCTGTAATCCTAGCTACTCAGGAGGTTGAGATCTGAGAATCACAGTTCAAAGCCATCCTGGGCAGGAAACTCCGTGAGACTCTTTATCTCCAATAAACCACTAGAAAACCAGAAGTGGCACTGTGGCTCACGCAATAGAGCGCTGGCCTTGAGCTGAAGAGCGCAGGGACAGTGCCCAAGCCCAGAGTTCAAGCCTCATGCCCATGACTGACCAAAATACAAACAAACAAAAAAAGCAGTGTGCTGGAAGTGGAGCTGTGGCTCAAGTGGTAGAGCACTAACCTTGAGCAAAAGGAACTCAGAGATAGCTCCCAGACCCAGAGTTTAAGGAAAAGCAAAAACAAAAATAACCTATAGGGCTGGGAATGTAACTTAGTGGTAGAGTGTTAGCCTAGCATACATGAAGCCCTGGGTTCGATTTCTCAGTACCACATAAACAGAAAAATCCGGAAGTGGCATTGTGGCTCAAATGGTAGAGTGCTAGCCTTGAGCAAAAGAAGCTCAGGGACAGTGCTCTAGCCCTGAATTCAAGCCCTAGGACTGGTTTAAAAAAATAAAAAAAGCAGTTTGCTAAGCCATATTATGATGCGATTCTGCCTGCCACACTCCACCTCCCCTCTCTGGTCCAGGAGTTTGAACTCTGGGCCTAGGTGCTGACCCTGAGCCTCTTTGAAAGGCTAGTATTCTACCACTTGAGCCAAATTCCGCTTCTGGCTTTTTTGAGTAGTTTATTGAGATAAGCTGGCTGGCTTTGAACTGTGATCCTGAGATCTCAGCCTCCTGAGTATCTAGGATTACAGATGTATGCCACCAGTGGCCTCTGTAATCTTACTTTTGTTCAAACAAAACCACCCAAAGCATAACATAGATTTAGATACAGATAGAGACTCAGACAGACAGACAGATAGATAGAGATAGATGGATGGTTAGGAAGGGTATAAATATAAGCAAACATATTAATGGCTCATTTTCATTCTTTAGCTGTGAATAATTTTACGCTTTTAAGAGACTTGTGCTTGTTAGACAGCAAGCAGTCTTTACCACTTGAGCTATAATTACCCTAGTCCATTTGTTTCAAGTATATATGCATTACTTTGAGGTGTTAGAGGGAAATAAAATTAACAAAATAATGATGATTTGGGCTTGGGATGTCTCACAGTGGTAGAGTGCTTGACTAAGCCCCTGGACTTGTTCCCCCCCTCAGCAAGAACAGAGAAAAAAATGCTTTATGAGTTGCTGTGTTAAATAACAAATTGTAACTTCCATTTACAGAAGAGACTTGGTGGACCCTACATGGATGCAGCCTGACAGATTGAGCCCACAAATTCACAGTTCCCAACCACAGCCTCTTGTTGGAACAGCTGGAAATTTACTCTCCCATCTCTTGAATTTAGAACATGTAGGAATTTTGCACAAGGATTTTGAATCTATTTTACCAGCCAAGAAGAGTCATAATATGGCTTCAGGACCATTAAGTTTTACACCTCAACCGTTTCTGACCTCACCAGCTGTAAATCCAGATGCCTTGTTAAAACCTAGTGCCAGCCAATATAAGAGTAAACTGGATCGTATTGAAGCCTTGAAGGCAACAGCTGCTTCTTTGTCTAGCAGGATTGAAAGTGAAGCCAAAAAATTAGCTGGAGCCAACATTAACTATGGATCAGTTTGGAACGCTGAGTTTGATGTACAGCAAGCACCTCAAGAAGATGGACCTTGGACCAAAGCTTTAAGTCCACCTGTAAAAGAAGATACAGAAGATGTTTTCTCGGCCCGAATTCAAAAGATGTTAGGAACCTGTGTATCTCATGCAACTTTTGATGATGATCTTCCTGGTGTAGGCAACCTTAGTGAATTTAAAAAGCTTCCTGAGATGATAAGACCTCAGAGTGCCATATCAAGCTTCAGAATGAGATCCCCTGGTCCCAAACCAGGAGGGCTGCTGGCACAGTTGTGTAAGAGACAGACTGACTCTTCTGGCTCTGATGTACAAGCTGGTTCTCAAGAAAAAGCCAAAAGATCTGTTGGCTCCAGCACAGACTCAGTTAGTGAAGGGCCTCTTCTTAGTGAAGGGAGTCTCTCTGAAGAAGAAGGTGGCCGGGATAGACAGCCTCTTTTGAAGGTAGCAGAAATTTTAAAAGAGAAAGAATTTTGTGCTGGAGAAAAAAATCCTTATGAGCCCATCAAAGAGTTTCAGAAGGAAGCTGAGAAATTTTTGCCACTTTTTGGGCATCTAGGTGAGATGCATAGCAAAGGACCATGGGAAGAATTGGCAAAGGGAAGCCCACATAGTGTCATTAATATTTTTACCAAATCATATCAGCTATATGGAAAAGGAGAGAAAAGTAAAGGTGAGTACTATCTGGATGTTATCTTAAGATGAATTATTTATTTTTATAATTTCTATACAAAATTTGTACTAAGCCCACAACATTTTTCATTTTCATTACTTGAATATTGGAGAGTATCTACAAGATTATTTAACTAGAGCATTAATAGTTGAATTTTAAAATTTTTATTTTGTAGTTTTTGTTGTCATAAAATAGGTAGTTACAGAAATTTTGATATAGAGAAACTCATAGGTGTTGTATTGAGTATTGCATATATATCAAGCCTATATTAGTTTTTCTGTGGCCATACTTACATATTTAGACAAGTTAAATATGTTTGTTTTTGTGTGTGTATTATTATTTATATTAAAGATTGGACACTGTCCCTTAGCTTTTTGGCTCAAGGCTGGTGCTCTACAATTTGAGCCACAGCTCTACTTCCATCCATTCTGGTTAATTGGAGATAAGAGTCTCACAGACTTTTCTCTCTGGGCTGGCTTCAAATTGCAATCCTCAGATTTCAGCCTCCTGAGTAGCTAGTAGTATAGGTGTGAGCCACTGGTACCTGGCTCAAGTATGTTTCTAAACCAGTGACTTGTGACTCCTGATAATATAGTGGTTAAGAATTGAAAAGGGCAATTACATAGAAATTACAGAAATATTGTTTGCTAAAACAAATTTTAGGCTTTGAAGAACAATGTAGCTATATGTATATTTTTTGAGGCTTAAGATATATATGTATGTATGTGTATATGTATATAGTTCTGGGGGTTGGACCCTGGGCCTTGTAAATCCTTGTACATCCTTGGCAGGTTCTCTACCATTGAGCTATGTTTTCATCTTCTCTAAGACTAGCTTCTAAATTTGTCTTTTTATTATGTAGTTCTGCATCCCAACTTCCCTCTTTGGTGAAGGTTTAGTTCCTTTTAAGTCGCTTTCTCTTTTTATTTTTAATTTTTATTTTTGTCAGTCATGGGGCTTGAACTGTGGCCCTGGATGCTGTCCCTGAGCTCTTCAGGAAGCTCAAAACGAGCACTCTACCACTTTAGCCACAGTGCCACTTCTGGTTTTCTGGTGGTAATTGGAAATAAGAATCTCATGGATTTTCCTGCCCAGGCTGGCTTTGAACCATGATCCTCAGCTCTCAGCCTCCTGAGTAGCTAGGATTACAAGCATGAGCCACCCGCCTGGCTCTTTCTATTTTATTTTGGTGGATTCTATCCAGCTTATACTACCATAGCTTTAGAACTTATTGGAAGTTTTTACTCTAAAGAGTAAGCAAATTATGACAAATGAATCTCTCATTTATATCTCTTAGGCTCAACTGGCTGTTACATTGCTATTTTCTAGGATTTATGTTTATATTTAAGTACTTCTTTATGATCTTATACAATCTTTTATATAATGTTGCTCTCTCTCTCTCTCTCTCTTTTTTTTGTCAGTCATGGAGCTTGAACTCTGGGCTTGGGCGCTGTCTCTGTGCTCTTCAGCTCAAGGGGAGCGCTCTACCACTTGAGCCACAGTGCCACTTCTGATTTTCTAGTGGTTTATTGGAGATAAGTGTCTCATGGAGTTTCCTGCCCTGGCTGGCTTTGAACCATGATCCTCAGATCTCAGCCTCCTGAGGTGTGAGCCACCGGTGCCTGGCCTGTTTTTTTTTTTGTTGTTGTTGTTTTTTTGAGACTTAGTCACACAGACATTTCTGTCTGAGCTGGCCTTGAACTATAATCCTCAGGTCCTAGACTTCTGAGTAGATAAGGATAATAGGCATGAACCACCAGCACTCAGCTCGATTTTTCTTTTTTTTTTTTGGTCAGTCGTGGGGCTTGAACTCTGGGCCGGGACACTTTCCCTGAGCTCTACAGCTCAAAGCAAGTGCTCTACCACTTGAGCCACAGTGCCACTTTCGGTTTTTTGAATGGTTTATTGGAGATAAGAGTCTCACGGACTTTCCGCTGGCTTTGACCTCACATCTCAACCTTCTGAGTAGCTAGGATTACAGGCATGAGCCCCTGATGCCCGGCTATTTTTTTTTATAGTTATACTGAAATGTTGAGATATGAAATACTATGTTATATAGGATGTTTCAAAATACTCTGAGACAGGGATGCGAGGAATAGGAGTTTTAATGATGGCTTATGTATTGGTCATTGTTGAAATAGAGTAATGGATACTTTGATTTCCCTATATTGTGTTATTTTCATTTATATTTGAAAATTTTCCTAATAAAATATTCAAAATATACCTTGCTAGATAAGAAGGTAAATTGAAAATAGGCCCAGGTAAAAGCAAACAAGATTCTTTCTACATATCATTAATCTCTATTTTCTAGAATGCTTTGCTTTGCTGATAGTTTTTTTAAATTTAGTTTTTAACTATGCTTCAATTATTTCTTTTAGCTGGTTTTGAAGACAGATTAGAAAGAGGAACATCAGCATCCCAGCCTTTGAGTGCCCTCACAACCCCTTTAAGCAGTGTTTCATATGAAGATGATTTTGTCTCCTCTCCAGGGAGTGGAACTTTGACAGAAAAAAAGTCAGCTCTTGAATCTAAGTAAGCAACATGGACTAAAATCTGAAGAGTAAAATAAATGTACAAATAAGAACTATGGCTTGAGAATAAGTCAAAATTTCTTGTTGAATGATACATTTAGAGGCTATATGTAGAAGAACATGGACTCTGGTTTTAAATCCTTAAAATCTCATTATTAGTTGCTTAGTATTTGTGCATATCACTTAATCTCTTTATGCATAAGTTTCCTTAATTTTAAAATGGAGAAAATATTAGTACCTGCCTGCATCCCAGCATTCTTTTTTTTTGCGGGGGGGAGGGTCTGGTCATGGGGCCTGAACTCTGGGCCTGGGTGCTGTCCCTCAGCTCTTCAGCTCAAGGCTAGCGCTCTACCACTTGAGCCACACCACCACTTCCGGCCTTTTTTTTTTTCTGTTTATGTGGCGCTGAGGAATCAAACCCAGGGCCTCATGCATTTTGGTCGGTTGTGGGGCTGGAACTCTGGGCTTGGGCGCTGTCCCTATGCTCTTCAGCTCAAGGCGAACGCTTTACCACTTGAGCCACAGTGCCACTTCCGGTTTTCTAGTGGTTTATTGGATATAAGAGTCTCATGGACTTTCTTGCCCGGGCTGGCTTTGAACCATGATCCTCAGATCTCAGCCTCCTGACTAGCTAGGATTATAGGTTTGAGCCATTGGTGCCTGGCAACATCCAATAATATTTGTTGTTGTTGTTGGTTGTGGGCCTTGAACTCTGGGCTTGGGTCCTGTCCCTGCGCTCTTCAGCTCAAGGAGAGTGCTTTACCACTTGAGCCACAGTGCCACTTCCAGTTTTCTAGTGGTTTATTAGAGATAAGAGTCTCACTGACTTTCCTGCCTGGGCTGGATTTGAACCGTGATCCTCAGATCTCATCCTCCTGAGTAGCTAGGATTATAGTAAGCATGAGCCACCAGAGCCTGGCCATCAGATAATTAGGAGCATTCAACATGCAAGGCATAGAACTGCAAGGCTTTATATTAACTTATTTTTTTAAATAGCCTGAATGGGTATGATATTGATAATATTCCTGTTTTAGAGCAGAAACTGAAATGACTTATTAAGTGAATTAGACTTTGCTGGAAAGAATTTTTTTTTTAAATGGTTAAAATAAATGAAAATAGGGGGCTGGGAAGGTGGCTCTGTGGTAGAGTGCTTGCCTAGCATGCGTGAGGCCCTGGGTTCTATTCCTCAGCACCACATAAACAGAAAAAAACTGGAAGTGGTGTTGTGGCTTAAGTGGTAGAGTGCTAGTCTTGAGCTGAAAAGCTAAGGGACAGCACCTAGGCCCAGAGTTCAGGCCCCAGGACCGGCAAAATAAATAAATAAATAAATAAACAAATGAAAATACTAATTACATTAGTATATTTAGTTAATTAAAATTAACATGCGATTCTTCATATTTTTTGCACACCAAAGTTATAGTCCACATAAAATTATTTGATGAGCTCACAAAAATTAGATATAATTGGAAGAAGAAAAACAAATCTTATTAAAATTATAAAAGGAAAGGTATAGTTTTAACTTTTGAGCTATAAGAAAAGATCTTTAAAATACTTTAAAAGATTTAATGCTGTGACACTTACATCATCAATTAATATGATTTAATGCATTTTATCTGCAGGTTAATGTTAGTATTCTCTGTAAACTTACTGGAGAGAAATAGTTATGCTGTATAAAATTACAAAGTTGTGTAGAAATAGAGACCAAACTTTGTGGTATTCAACATCCTATTTTTTCTCTCCCACATCTGAAATACTAGTTTATTTATATTGGCTCAGCTTTAGTAAACAATTCACCTGACATTTTTCTGAATAATAAATTGAGCCATAGAGAACAATCTGGGCTTTATACTGACAAGGAAAAAAGAAGAATGGAAGCCACCTTTGGTTATAGTTAAATTCTTCTGGCGATTAAATAGATTTCTTTCTTTTTTTTTTTTTTGTCAGTCATAGGGCTTGTACTCGGGGCCTGGGTGCTGTCCCTCAGCTTTTCAGCTCAAGGCGTGCTCTCTACCACTTGAGCCACAGTGCCATTTCCCGTTTTCTGGTGGTTAATTGGAGATAAGAGTCTTATGGACTTTCCTGCCCAGGCTGCCTTTGAACTGTGATCCTCAGATCTCAGCCTCCTGAGTAGTGAGGATTACAGGTGTGAGCCACCTGCACCTGGCTTAAATAGATTTTTAAATGTCTTTAGTTTAACCATGTTTTAAGACCTTTTTCTTATTTTCTTGATTTTTATAAGTTTACTTAATAAAAAGTTTAATACGAAGTATACATGAACCACTTTTTGTATCAGTAAAAATAAGAAGACACATAGAGTTCTGTGCTCAAAGTCATTACCTTTATTTAAAGGCTTCTAACAAGATGATCCTGTTTCTTTTTTTCTTTTTTGTTTTCTTTTTGGGTCCGGTTGTGGCGTCTGAACTCTGAGCTTGGGCCTGTCCCTCAGCTCTTCAGCTCAAGGCTAGCGCTCTACCACTTGAGCCACAGTGCTACTTCTGGCTTTTTTCTTTTTTTTTTTTTTTTTTTGCTATGGATGCTTGGGAATCGAACCCAGGGCCTCATGCATGCAAGGCAAGCACTCTACCACTGAGCCACCTTCCCAGCCCTTTTAAATGTTTTCTTTTTTTTTTGGGTCCGGTCATGGGGCCTGAACTCTGGGCCTGGGCGCTGTCCCTCAGCTCTTTCAGCTCAAGGCTAGTGTTCTACCACTTGAGCCACATCACCACTTCCGGCTTTTTACTTTTTGCTTATGTGGTGCTGAGGAATCAAACCCAGGGCCTTAGGCATGCTCTACCACTGAGTCACCTTCCCAGAGATCCTGTTTCTTGTATTTGCTCTGTTTCAGTACTCTGTTGCCCTCTAGTTGACATCTCTATACACTACCACAAAATTCATAAAGGGAGTTAGTTCTCACAATATTCTTGGGACATTCCTTTTACTTTTAGCAACTTCTTGTCAGGGATAGGCTTGGTTATTGTGTCTGTTCTACACATTCAAAGTTGCTTAAAAATAGAATTGTAACCTCACTCAGACTCCATATTTTTTTCTTCAGCCACTTTTACTTTTTCTTTACAGTATTATTGGTAGCAATTTAAGCATTCAAGAGGGCCATTCTAGCAGAAAACTTGCATATGATGTTTCTTCTACGGATGTTACTTCTCAGCACTCATCAGGAGCCCTGTCTGTTGCATCATCTCATTCATCTACTTCGAAAGGAAAGAAGGGAAAAAAGGAAAAAATGGAATGTAAGTGGAATTATGCATGGTGACTTTTTCTCTTACCAGTGATTTTATGGTAGTGCTCTAAAGTTATGATTTGATTCTATAAGAAGTTAGAGGAATTTCTTCATGATAGTAAAGAAGTGTAGGCCAGGTATGGTGGTATATTCCTGTAATACCAGCTACTCAGGAGGTAGACATCAAGATGATTATAATTGAGCCCAGACAGGGTAAAAACTTGGCTGAACCCATCTCAACAAACAAACTGGATGTATTAGTGCATGTCTATAGTTTCAGTTGTGTGGGAAGCATAGGAAGGATTATGATCCAAGGATAGCCTAGTCAAAAATGTGAGACCCTATCCAAAAATATAACTGAGGCAAAAAATAATTTTTCAATAATCTCAATAGGATATATCCCTACAAAGTAAGGTTATTTATTTATTTATTTTTGTGCCAGTCTTGGGGCTTGAATCCTGAGCTTTTTTGTTCAAGACTGGGGCTCTGCTGCTTGAACCACAGCTCCACTTTTGTCTTTTTGGTGATTAAGTGGAGATAAGAGTCTCATAGACTTTCTTGCCTGGCCTGGCTTTGAACTATGATTCTTAGATCTCAGCCTCCTGAGTTGCTAGTATTATAGGTGTGAGCCATCAGTAATTGGCAAAGTAAGTTTATTCTTAATCAGAGAATATAAACATTTTTTATGAATCTGGCTACACAGTTTTTACTATGGAATTTTCAAGAAGAATTGTGTAACTATGTTGGGAACTAATACTATTTTTCTCTTATCTCAGCATTTTATCTTTAAAAATCCTTATTTTTTGGTTGTATTACTGGTTGAATAAAGAGCTGTTTATTAATATCAAGTAGAAGGTATTGATGGAAGACTTCACTTTCTTAAATGAGCAGAAAGATTAAGTGCTTTATTTTAGGTCTAGAAAACACATTTTAAAATAAGTTAAAATTTCAAGTATTTTTGTCCATATTTTTCAAGTATTTTATTAAAATCTATAGGTTAGCTATATAGCTCAGTGTCTCTAATGTCAGTCATATTTATAAGAAATTTGTGTTCCAGGGTTTGATTCATTCACTGGAAATGTTCAGAACTTACTTGATGAGGAAAAAGTGCAATCTAGTTCAGAAGGTGGCTCCCATCAAGGAAAGAAATCTAGGACCAGTAGTAAACTTTCTGCTAAAGATTATGAGCAGATTTTTGACACTGAAAGCACTTTAGAAGAACTTTCTGGGCATTCTGTGAGGTATAGTATTTTATATTTTGATTCACATATAATTAACATAATAGTATTAACATAATAGTGTGAAGAATCTATTTGGTAAATTTCAACTTAACAGTTAACTATGCATGTCTGAGCTACTGTAGATCGTGTATGTTGTAAATAGTAGACTTTATGACTTCGCTCATAGCTCTAGACTATATTTTAGAATGTGGTCACCTTTCACTTTAATTGCTCTAATCTTTCTAGGAATTTTGTGCCTCAAATATAACTAGTTTTGTGCCTGAAAGCCCTTTATTGCCATGGTATACTTGACTGTTTTTTGCAAAAGCATCTACTTTCCTAGAATGAAGTGCTTTGAAAAGACAATTACCCCATCAACTCGAACAACCTAATTCAACTTGAAGAGTTTTCACTGAACTACCATAAAGTATCTTATTTCCTTGTCTACAAAATTTTCTTCTCAGCTATTTCTTCAACTCTTTAAATACAACTTCTTAGTATCTTTTTGTCATAGGGTTGATATTATTTATTCCTCTGAGCTTTTCTCTCCTGTGCTGGCTGACTAACCACTCAAAACCAGATTTTAAGGTCTGGGAAGGTGGCTCAGTGGTAGTGTGATTGCCTTGCATGCATGAGGCCCTGGGTTTGATTCCTCAGCATCACATAAGCAGAAAAACCCAGAAGTGGTGCTGTGGCTCTAGTGGTAGGGCACTAGCCTTGAGCTGAAGAGCTGAGGGACAGCACCCAGACCCAGAGTTCAGGCCCCACAACCAAAACAAAACAACAACAACAACAAAAAACACCCAGATTTTGAAATATCACTCTTATTGCTGACCTCAACACTTGCTCAAATCTTTTTAACATTATTTACTACTTACCTTGCTGTTTACAAATGAACTGTAGTCATTGCTTCCTGTGTAGTTGCTGTTCTTTTGTTCACATGACTTTAAGTATGCACTGATTCTGTCCTTCTAGAAATTGAGGCTCTAAGGAAACAGAATCATCTTTCTTCAGGGCTGGGAAGTTGGCTCAGTGGTGGAGCGCTTGCCTTGCATGCCTGAAGCCCTGGGTTCGATTCCTCAGCACCACATAAGCAAAAAGAAAAAAGCTTGAAGTGGTCTGTGGCTCAAGAGCGCTAGCCTTGAGCTGAAGAGCTGAGGGACAGTGCCAGGTCTAGAGTTCAGGCCCCACGACCGGATTCCCCCCCCACATCCCCCCCAAAAAAGAATCATCTTTCTTCATTTACTCCTTATTTTCCTCCCTTACTTTTCCCTTGCTCTTCTCCTTCTTTTTTTTTTTTTTTTTGTCTGTAGTACTAGGTGTTAAAATTAGGGCCCTGCGGTTGCTAGACAGGCACTCTGCCTCTTGAGCCATCCCCTTTGTGCCCTGTTTACTTTTCAAGGTTCAGTTTATGATGACGCCAACCGAGGCTGTGAACCTCTACTTGTGCCTCCTCCTGTCACTGCCCCTAGCCATTAGCTGCAATAGAGTCTCATTCAGTTTTTGTCTGACTTGGCCTCAAGCCACAATGTGATTGAAATCACTATAAACATATTTTTGGAAATGCTAGTCAAAGTGAATCTTTTCTGCAATGGTAATAAACAATGATAAACTATACAAAGGATACTAAATTTGTAAAACCATAGAATGAAATAGAGAACTTACTTTGTCTGCTGTAGTGCTGTGATTTAAAATGATTATTCTTTTTAGGGTCCCTAGATGAATTTAGATACTGTTCAAAATATAGTAATGTTTCTTTATCTGTGGTTTTCCTTTCTGGGGTTTCAATTTAATCATGATCAGCTGTGGTACAAAAATATTAAATGATTCTTAATTTAAAGTACACATCATTCTGAGTATCATAATGAAATCTCACACCATATAACTTCATCTTCTCCCATGTGAGTCATCTCTTTATCTGGTATACTTAAGCTGTATACACTCCCCATTTGTCAGTAGCCATCTTGGTTACTAGATTGGCTGTCACTGCATTTCATAGTGCTTGTATTGAAATAAACTTTATTTTACTTTCTAGTGGCCCCAAAGTAAGGATATGCTTCCTTTAAGTAAAGAGGTAAAAGATTTTGACTTAAAAAAAGTCACATGCTGAGGTCGCTAAGATCTACTTGTAACAAGAATTATTTTCTGTATAAAATCATAAAGGAAAGAGAAATTCATGCACATCATATTGCAAAATTTGCAAATTCCAAAAATTGCCACTGTACTATGTGAAAAGTACTTAGTTAAGCTATGTATAGGAGGAATTACAATATGTATCAGTTTGATACTATCCAAAGTTTTAGGCATTCAGTGGAGTTCTTGGAACATAACATCCACATATAAAAGGTGGCACTACTGTAATATTTCTACAAGCTTTCTATAGAAAATTAAAGGCTTTGTAAACAAGTAAGTGACTGGATTACTTTTAAAATTACTTTTCAAATATTCATGCTAGTTATAAGGAAAAACTTCTTAAATTTTATCTCATAATTTTATCAGAAGCTAAAGGAAAACTTGTTTTAGTCCAGTAGAAATCACTGAATTGTGCCAAATACTTTATATACAGTATCTGAATAATTTATGCAATAAATAAAAATTTAGTGTTAAGGCAACATGCTTGATATGATGAGAAATAATGTCTTTTTTTTTAATCTTTTCTTGCTGGTCCTGGGGCCTGGGTGCTGTCCTTGAGCTTCTTTTGCTCAAGGTGAGCTGCCTACCACTTGAGCCACAGTGCCAATGCCATTTCTGGCTTTTTTTGAATAGTTTATTAGAGATAAGAGTCTCATGGAGTTTTTGCCTTAGGAGGGCTTTGAACTTCGATCCTCAGATCTCAGTCTCCTGAGTAGCTAGAATTACAAGCATGAGCCACCAGTGCCCAGAAAAATAATGAAATCAAGTTTTTAATGAGTTTACTATCTGACAGAGAAACACTATCTACACATGTGACTTATGTTTCACTAAATGCCTTAGAAGTTGTTACTATTAACTGTTTTGAGAGGCTATTTAATAGAAAGTATAGGGAAAAGGAATAGTCTTACAAGCTATATATAAACAGGTGAATATATGTGAAATAGATATGGATATTGTGAAAATATTTTTTATGTGATTCTGGGTCAATGGAGAGAATCAACCATTTTTACACTGTAAATATAAAATGATATATAAAATATAACTTGTAAAATTATATTTTAAAACACCTATAGGATAATGTCTTTTACATATATTTGTGTTTTTATTGATACACAATGGTTATTTTAGAAGACTTTGTGATACCTGTACATTGTAGAAGGAAAGAAGTAGCAATTGAGACCCCCTCTTTCCCATTTTATTTAAGGCACAGTTTGTGCCCAATTTGTTTACCACTGAACATCTAGAAATTAAAGGAGTACTCATAGTCATTCATCATTGAATATAATTTTTAAATTTACTTTATTGTTGTTAAAGAGATGATATACAGAGGGTTTACATTTACGTGCGTCATAGTGTCATCTGTTCCCACATTCTCTCCCATTCCCACTCATGAGTTGCATAGTTCACTTTCATCAATGTCCAGTGTGCTCTACAGCTGCACTTTTTAACCCTTTTCCCTCAGATTCTGAGCCCTCCCCCCACCCTTCTACAGATAAGGTAAAGAATACAGAATGATCAGAAAAAGAAAAAAACATTGAAAAAAGTCCTTTGTTTCCCTGTCTTGGCAGTTTGTTTCAGTATGTATATTAGGTAAGCATGTGTATGTAAACATATGAAGAGGTATTGGCTATTGTACCTTTGTGATCCTCTCCTAAGACTATCCTCTTTTGGTCTCACTATGTGAGTATCTAGAATCCAGCCTAATTTATCATATGCTAGTGCATTTTAGAATTATCTTCCATATATCAGAAAGGATGTGCACCATTTGTCTCTCTGAGGCATACAGAAAGATTTTTGTAGGTTAATTTTATATCCTGCTACTTTGCGGAAGTGGTTGATCAGCTCTAAGAGTTTGGGAGTGGAATTTTTTGGATCCGTTAGATATGAGATCAAGTCATCTATAGATCAAGTCATCTATATATTGGGATAGTTTAATTTCTTCTTTCCTTATGTGAATCTGAATCCCTTTTATATCCTTTTCTTGCCTTATTGATCTGGCTAAGAATTCCAGAACTATTTTGAAGAGGAGTGAAGAGGGTGGGCATCCTTGCCTTATTCCTGATTTTAGGGGAAATAGCTTTGGTATTTCTCCATTTAGTATGATGTTGGCTATTGGTCTGTAATGTATAGCTTTTATTGTTTTAAGGAATGTTCCTTCTAAGTTTCTCCAAAGTTTTTAATATGAATGGATGTTGAATTTTGTTGAAGGCTTTTTGGGTGTGTCTATTGTGATAATCATGTAGTTCTTGTCCTTGGTGAATATAATTTTGAAAATAATTGTAAGTAGTTGTACACAGGGGCTTCCAGTCAGCATCTCAGTTTCTGTGTACAGTATATCTTGATCAATGTCACCCCTTCTAGCATTCTCTTCCATCCCATCTGTCTCAATCCTACCTGTATCCTCAAGTTTCCTAGTTCCATTTTTACATATGTGCATTGAGTGTTAGGACTTTTCACCCATCATTCCATTTTCCATTTGTTTCCCTCCCCCCAACTCTAACCTATCTCAGTAAACATTTTCAGATTTTCTGGTATTCATTTTGTTAAATTGTTAATTGTTGAAAGGGGTTAAACCGTGGAAATTCATTCGAGTATACTATATATTTTAGTAAGGTTGATTTTGTGTGTGTGTGTGTGTGTGTGTGTGTATTGTGTGTATTGCGTGTATGGATATGGTCCTAGAAATGTTGCTTAAGAAAGAAGTGTGTATTGTTCTTACAACTTTTTTAGCTTGTTCTTGAAGTCATTTCCTTTTTCTAATGTCTTTATGAAACAAAACTACTTCTAGTGGCTCATCAGACAAGGGAAGATCTCAGAAAACTCCAACTTCACCTCTATCCCCAAGTTCTCAGAAATTGTTACAGTGTGACCTTCCAGGGTCTTCAGTAGAGAGAGCTAAGTCTCCAGTCGTGATACCTACAACTACAACAGGATTGAAGTCCACTGCAGCTTTCACTGATACAAACAAAACAGAGGCGGCTGCAACACCAGGCAAGTAGATTCATGCACTTACAAGTTTTTTGTTTTTGTTTTTGTTTTGTTGGTTGTGGGGCCTGAACTCTGGGCCTGGGCACTGTCCCTGAGCTCTTCAGCTCAAAGCTAGTGCTCTACCACTTGAGCCACAGTGCCACTTCTAGCTTTTTCTGCTTATGTGGTGCTGAGGAATCGAACCCAGGGCTTCATGCATTCAAGGCAAGCACTCTACCACTGAGCCACTTTCCCAGCCCCACTTAGAAGTTTTTAACTGTGAATTTTTCCTGAAAATTCTTTATCTTTCAATTGAGCCATAAGGATATGTTATTTCAAGTCAATTTGATTATTCTTTAAATTATTTTTTTAAAAGTATAGGAGCTTAAATACTGAATAGCATGAGAGATTGAATAGTGGCAATTTTTCCCATGTTGCCATCATTCGTCAAAACTTACCTGAAGATATATCCCATATATGTATTTCTAAGTGCTTATAGGTGTGTGTGTGTGTACACTTACACAGGTGCATCAGGAGATACCAAAATAACTATTAAAATACATTGTATTACTAAGTCACTGTTTTTGCTACAGAGAAAAGCAGAAATGAATTCAGTTCTTAAAATAAGAAATAAATTTCAGAAATCTGAAGTGTAATTTCATGTGAACTTTTCCATTTGACAATCATTATGCCCTCTAGGTTCTAAGCGTTTTTCTCCTGCTGGCCTCCAGCATCGTATGGCAGCAGAACTCAATTATCTGAGTGCTATTGAGGAGTCTGTGCGACAGCTGTCAGATGTGGAAAGAGTTAGAGGCATTTCACTTGCTCAGCAGGAGAGTGTTTCTCTGGCTCAGATCATAAAGGTATTGGTGGGATTGTCTTCTTTATTATTCTGTTTTTTTTTTCATCTTTTCTTTGTTAATTAAAATAGAACGTATGGTAGAAGAACATTTGGTAAAAGAACAATTGTGTAGTCATTCTTTCTCAAATACTGTTTTCCATTAAGTATTGCTTTGTTTTAATGACAACGTGAAAATTAAATTCTTAATATTTTCTGTTTTCATTGACTGTTAGAGATGAGTGCAGTTGTTTTGTTTTAATGCTTTGTTTCTGAGACTCAGGTGTTTGATAAAATCAGACAAATGAGGACTTTGGCTTAGCAGGCAAAAATCTAGAGGTCTAAGCCGTGTTCCTCAGTGGGTAGGCTATTGTTTTTTGTCGTTGTTTATTTTTTAAGTGAGGTTTTAGTGACATTCAATAAAGTATGCAGTTTTGATGATTTTTTAAACCAACACACACACACACACACACACACACACACACACGAATTAGCAATCATCTAATCCAGATACAGAACTGTTCAGTTACTCCAGAAAGCTGATACATGCCCACTTGCAGCTACTCCCTCCACTCCTGCCCAGGAAATTGTCATTTTGATTTCTAGCACAATGAGTTTATTTTTGCCTATTCTAGAACTTCATGTAAGTTAAAATATAATTTGAACTCTTGTGGTTAGCCTATTTTAGTTAGTATAAATGTAATATTTATCCACATCATATCTTCCTACTCCCTGTCATATTAGGGTTGAGCTATGCTTTCAGCCATTTTTTACTTTAGTTATTTTAAGGTAGGGTCTCCTGCTTTTGCCTGTTTTGTCCTCTTACCTCCACATGGTTGGCATCACAGGCATCATGTACCATCATGGCCAAATTATTGATTAGTAGAGGTCTTGCTAACTTCTCGCCTCACACTTGTCTTGAAGCATGATCCCTCCTGATCTGAGTAGCTGGAATTACAGGCACTTAGTGCTTTTTAATTTTTTGCCTAGTAATATTCCAAGAATCAGTATGTCACAGTTTGTTTATTCAGTTGATACACATGTTTCTACTCTGAATCTGATTTATAGCTCTATGTAGACAACATATTTCATTTTTCTTACAAAAATAACTGCTTTTTAATGGCTTGTTCAGTATAAATATTTGATTGCAAGAAGCTGCCTTACCATTTTCCAAAATGTTTGTAACATACTCATATAGAAGTAGGTAAGAATTTCAGTTGTACACAGTTCTTACTATCATTTAGTATTGTCAGTCTTTTTAAACTGTAGTCATTCTGAGTGTGAAGTAGTGTTGTTAAGGTTGTAATTTTTATTTCTCTTAAGAATGATGAAGTTGATCATCTTTTTTGTTTTTATATATATATATATATATATATATATATATATATGTTTTTTTTTGGGGGGGTGGTTTGGTTGTGGGGCTTGAACTCTGGGCCTGGGCGCTGTCCCTCCGCTCTTCAGCTCAAGGCTAGCGCTCTACCACTTGAGCCACACTCGCTACTTCCGGCTTTTTTCTTTTTGCTTATGTGGTGCTAAGGAATCGAACGCAGGGCCTCATGCATGCAAGGCAAGTGCTCTACCACTGAGCCACCTTCCCAGCCCCTTTTTTTGTATATTTTAGTGACCATTCTTACATTTTTTTACTTCAAATCTATTTTCTTTTAATTGCAGAGTTATAGGAATTCTTTATAAATTCTGGAATCAAGTTTACTTTTTCCATTCTTAAAATTACTTTCTATAGTGCAAGTTTTAATTTGATATAATCTTGTTTTTAACTTTTTTTCTGTAACTATAACCTTTTTCTCTTTTGGGTTTTGAGACAGGGTCTCACTGTTCATATTCAGCCCAGGAAGGCATGGAAACCTTGAGCATCCTTCCCCAGTCTCCCAAGCTCTAGGATCTCAGGTCTGGGTCACCATGCCCAGCTGAGCCTTTTGTTTTCTAAGAGCTCTTTGCCTACCCTAGATGTTAAGATGTTCGAACAAAGATATTCTTATCCTTCCCAAATGTTTTTCAGTTTTTACTTTTAAGTGTGTGATCCTATCAGGTTAATTTGGGAATTTTAAATGAGCAATGAGTCAAAATTTCATTTTTCCTTTATATGAATGTTCAGTTGTTTTAACATTATTTCCTTTAAAACATTTGAATTATATTAGTATTTATCATGCTTTAAGTAATCACTTTCATTTAAACTTAATATAGACTTTGTTCTTTTTTCAGGATGGTTTTGGCTATGCTAGAGTTTTTACATTTCCACATAACTTTTAGAATTAGTTTGTCAATTTTTACCTCCCTTGCTCTCCCCTCCCCCCCAAAAGAAGTGAAAACAAACCATGTCTAATGGGATTTTGATTAGAAAATCGTATTGAATTTATAAATCAGTCTGGGAAGAATTTGCATCACAACCATAGTGTATCTTTCAAATTTATGAACTTAATATCTTTTTCTGTTTAAATACTTCAATCCAGAAGTATAATTTTGACATAGAGGTCTGACTGATTGATTTTAAACTTTATTCCTAAATATTTTATTTTTTTATGCTATTGTGAATGTGTTTCTTTTGATCAATTTTATTTTCCAGTTATTCTTCCAAAAATACCTAAAGACAATTTTTTGTGTGTGGGACTATTCCATACTTTGCAGAGTTCAACATCCTGTACCCCTCCACTAAGTACTAGTGATTGGATAACACTGGCAGTACAACAGAAACTGTATGGACATTTCCAAATGCTCCCTAGTAATAGATGGGAAGGGATTAATGTCAATTTTGTTGCAAATCACCAGATTGAGGAAACTGGTCTTAATGCAGTGGAGCTACTCACCTTGAAATCTGAATAAGTAATAAGACATCATGACACTTTTAGGTTACTTTATAATTCTGGATTTCCAAATTTGCTCTGGGTACTAAATATAACTGAGTCATTTTTCTAGAAAACTTACATTATTTGATACTTCAGAAGAAGCAAAATCATCTTATGTCTGTAGCGACTGTTATATGGAATAATGACAAAAAATCTTGATTAAAAGGAGAACAAAGACAACTTCTTTTTTTTGTTGTCAGTTGTGGGGCTTGAACTCAGGGCATGGGCGCTGTCACTGAGCCTCTTGTGGTCAAGGCTAGTGCTGTACCAACTTGAGCCACAGCTCCCTTCCAGTTTTTGAGTGGTTGGAGACAAGAGTCTCACAGTGACTTGTCTGCCCAGGCTGGCTTTGAACCACCATCCTCAGATCTCAGCCTCCTGAGTAGCTGGAATTACAGGTTGGTGCCCGGCCAAAGACAACATTTTTAATGACATTGGTTCTTACAGTCAAAATAAAACAAAATTGTCAAATGTGTGGAATTATATTTGTGTTTTTACATAGGAATTTTTTAATCTTAATGAACAAGTTTAAGGCTGTAAGTTTTGCTTTTCTAGCCAGCTTTTTGGTAGCAATTCTTAATCTTGCTGCCTTAAGTTTTTTAATGTTTCTATGAAAAGTTACTAAAATTTTTTTGTATATATGTGTCCCACTGTAGGACTTGAATTCAAGGCCTATCTAAGTGCTTTCCCTGAGCTTCTTTTGTTCAAGGTGAGCACTCTACCACTTGAGCCACAGCTCTACTTCTGGTTTTTTTGTTGGTTAATTGGAAAGAATCTCGAATGGGGCCTTTACTTCCTGGGCTGGCTTTGAATGGACATCCTCAGATCTTAGCCTCCTGAGTAGCTAGGATTATAGGTGTGAGCCTTCAGAGCCTGACACTAAGTACTTTTGGTAAATGATGAACAATTGCTGACTATCCTGTTTACTATCTTTTTTTTTTTTTTTTTGAGTCCGGTCGTAGGGCCTGAACTCTGGACCTGGGCGCTGTCCCTCAGCTCTTCAGCTCAAGGCTAGCTCTTTACCACTTGAGCCACAGCACCACTTCTGGCTTTTTTCTTTTTGCTTATGTGGTACTGAGGAATCGAACCCAGGGCCTCAGGCATGCAAGGCAAGCGCCTTGCCACTGAGCCACCTTCCCATCCCCCTGTTTACCATCTTTTCTTTAGGCTTAAAATGTTTGATCTAGATCATTTGTGTTAGAAAGCTAGCATTGTGAGTCAGCTGAGTAGTTCATGCCTGAAAACACCATAAATTCAGATGGCCAGTTACAGTCTGTATTATACATGATAGGCAGATCTTGCCTCAAAGTAGAAAAACAAAGAAAACAATCAAAGACATATAACATTGGGTTTTATATTCACTGTGTTAAAAATTACTTAGTGTGTTACAATTAATATTTGGCTATTTCTTTAATTTCAAGGCTCAACAGCAACGTCATGAGAGAGATTTGGCTCTATTGAAACTGAAGGCTGAACAAGAAGCTCTAGAGTGTCAGAGACAGTTAGAAGAAACTCGAAATAAAGCAGCTCAGGTAACTTACTTTGCAGCAGATACTAATTATTTCCTTTTTTTTTTCTTTTGTTTGGTCATGGGGCTTGAATTTAGGGCCTGGGCATTGTCCCTGAGCTCTTTTTCTCAAGGCTAGCACTATACTACTTTGAGCCACAGCTCCACTTCCAGTTTTTGAATGGTTTAATTGGAGATTAGAGTCTCATGGGGAGTTTTCTGCCCCAGCTGGTTTCAGACTGCAGTTCTCAGATTTCAGCCTTCTGTATAATTCTTTAATTCTGAATTTTTATCTTAGAAAGTTCACTAGAAAGCTAGGTGCCAGTGGCTCATGCCTGTAATCCTAGCTACTCAGGAGGCTGATATCTGAGGATTGCTGTTCAAAGCCAGCCTGGGTAGGAAAGTCCATGAGACTCTTGTCTACAATTAACAACCAGAAAACTGAAAGTGGTGCTGTGGCTCAAGTGGTGGAGTGCTAGCCTTGAGTTGAAGAGCTGAGGGACAATGCCCAGGCCCAGAGTTCAAGCCCCCAGGACTGACAAAAAAAAAAAAAATCACTACAACATTCTTTAAGATTAAAAAGAAAGAGTATAAATAGTATTATGTAAATTTGTATAAGTTTCATATCATTTGGTTCTTCTTACAAAATTATGAAATAAATAGTTAAGCATTATTTCCAATTCAAAAACTAGCACCTGAAATACATAGTAGTTATTGGTCTGCAGACACATCAACTGTGAATTACGGAGTTAAGACAAACTATGAAATTCAGATAGTAGTCAAGTGTATTTTTCACAAGGAGTCAGAGTTTTATAAATTAAAACTAATTGGGTAGAGGAGAAAATGAGCCTAGCATTGTTTTGTTTTTTAATCTTTTATTGCTAGGTCCATGCAGAATCATTACAGCAGGTGGTTAAATCACAGAGGGAAGTGACTGGAGTCCTCCAAGAAGCAACTTGTAAAATAGCAGCTCAGCAAACGGAGACTGCTTGCCTTACCACAGATGCAGCTCGCCAGATCTGTGAGGTAAGAGCCGCTTGCGAGAACTATGAAAAATTAAAATTTTTTTCAGTGTTAAAAGTTTTGAACTTGGGCTCTAGTTTGTGCTTAGCAGGAATTCTCAGCATGACGTTGTACCTCCAGTCCTAATTTTTGCTCCTTATTTTTGTTTTTAACTTTTTTTTTTTTTTTTGTCTTTTTGGAGACTGGGTATCAAACCCAGGATGTTGCACTTGCTAGGCAAGCACTTTGCCACTGAGCTACATCCTAGCCCTGCTCCTTATTTTTGAGATTGGATCTGGCATCCTGTTTGGATATATAGCTAAGTTAAGGCTTCATGGTAAATAGGATATCAGAAGCATACCACTGAGTCTAGCTCTTACTTGATAAAGTGTCTCTCAAATTTCTTTCTGCTTGGGCTGGTCTTAAACCTCAACCCAATAGCTTCAATCTCCAAAGTAGCTAGCATTACAAGCATGAACCACTCATACCCTTTGATAGCGTCCCTTTATGCTTTTTTTTAGTCATTTTTAATTTTAATTTTATTTTTTTGAGTCTCCTTTCTCAAAATTTTAATGTGGAAACAGTAACAAAAGATTTCAAAAACACTTTTAAGTCATCAGTAGAATGAATATAACTTAAGTATTAATTGAATAATACCAAATGCATAATGCATGTAATAGTTGTAAAAGTGATTATGAATAAGACAAATATGTTTCACTATTATTTACTCAGAGAAGATTTGGAAAAGAAGAGCTAATTGAATTGATTATTAAAGGAAGACTTTTTAGATTGGTATAATTGGTAAAACATTAAAAATTATGTATTTAATCCTTGAATTTCATAAGATGAACCTGTTGGGACTCACAAAGGCTAAAACTTGCCCATAACATTTCATATTAGTGCCAGAATTTACTTGCTTTTGATCCAGTGAACTTTGATAAATACTGTATTTCTTCTCAGTTCTACTCTGGCATTGTCTTTTTCCATCTCTTTCTCTTTTCTGCATTTGTATTTAGATGGCAGAATTAACTCGAACTCATATCTCAGATGCCATCACTTCTTCTGGAGCTCCCCTAGTGACACTGTATGACCACCAGCGGCACCACCTTCCAGACTTCATGAAACAGCTTAGAACCAGAGCTGAATCAGACAGGTTAGTGTTCATTCATTCAGCAAATAATATAATGAAGTATCTTTTATGTCTTAGCCATTCTGGGCATACTGGCAAAACAATTGTAGGTATATAGTTCAATAGGGAAGATAAACATTAGGCACATATTCAGTTAAGTGAGTTAACACTTACAAACAATAATAAGTGTTATGAAAGAAACCCATGTCTCAGAGATACAACTGAAATCTGAATAGCCTGTGGATGCAAGGAGGTCAGAGTAGGAGTTAAAGGGGAAGAAAAGAGGAAGTAAAGCTTACAGTGAGAGTTAGTAGATAAGGAATCAATCAGTGATGTAAGGGAGGGAAAGAGTAGATAGATTGAAAGGACTGAAGGAAGAGGAATGTGACACATTAAAAAAAAAAGACCAATGTGATTGGTGGGAGACAGCAGAGTTTTGAGAATGGTCTGACCTTATGTATCAGTGTAAGACCTGGCAGACTAGGATTTTGGAGTTTAATTTAAGAACAACGAAAAGTTATTAAAGAAGTTTTCAGACAGAATTGGGTGACATGATCATATTTGTGTATGTAGTTTTCAGCCCATTTTTCTCTCTTGGGATTTGAGTTCAGAGCTTTTAACTACCACTTGAGCTATGTCTCCAGCTTGGCTTTTTGCTAGTTATATTGAAGACGAAGTTTCCCAGACTTTTTTCCCAGGTTGACATTGAACTATGATCCTCCCAATGTCAGCCTCTCCCAAGTAATACTAAAGCCACCAGTGACCAGTTTGTGTATATTTCAACATTTCTTGATCATAAATTTAAATTGATTTATATCCATTGATATCAGGAGTGATGATGTGTTTATTTCCCTTAAGAAATATTATTTTGGGGGCTGGGAAGGTGGCTCAGTAGTAGAGTGCTTGCCTTGCATGCATGAGGCCCTGGGTTCGATTCCTCAGCATCACATAAGCAAAAAAGAAAAAAAAACCGGAAGTGGCGCTGTGGCTCAAGTGGTAGAGCACTACCTTGACCTGAAGAGCTGAAGGACAGCGCCCAGGCCCAGAGTTGAGCTCCCATGACCGGACAAAAAAAACAAACAAAAAATATATATATTATTTTTGTTTTTTTTCTATTGAATGCCTTTTACTCTCAAATGCTTTCTAATACAGTTCATAATTTATCAGTTCATAATGCATTCAAGATTTTTTCTGGTTTTATTGTTAAACAGTCTTTAAAACCTTTCTCTTATTGGTGACTGAATGTTTAATTGTATTTAAAATTTTTTCTTTGTAGGATAAGTCAGTCTGTTTCAGTCTCTCAGAGTAAAGGAGGAACCATTGATTCAAAGCATCAGAAATATTCCCCTTCATATGATAACTATTCTGAGTCTTCAAGATACAAGAGTCATGATCGAAGGTGAACAGTTTTTATCAATACAGTTTGATAAACTCTGACATATAGTGTAAACATTGCTTGTCCTTGACTTTTTTGTTGTTGCTGCTAGTACTGTTGGGCCTGAGCACTCACTGTCCCTGAGCTTTTATGCTTAAGACTAGCAATCTTTCCCTTGAGCCACAGCTCCATTTCTGGCATTTTAGTGGTTAATTGGGGATAATTGCCTGGGCTGGCTTTGAATGTAGATCCTTCTATCTCAGCCTTCTGAGTAGCTAGGATCAACAGGGATGAGCCACCAATGTCTGGAACCCTTCAGAGTGCTGGCTGGCTTTCCCCATTTTTCACTCAAAGCTGGAACTCTACCACTTGGGCCACACCTCCACTTCCTGGTTCCCCTGTTTATTTAGCCATTGTATAAAATAGTTTGTAATAATAATACAATCACTGTTGCTTGAGAGCCTAGTTACTTAAGCACATATCATCTTTTCTTTAATTGTCACAGCAGTCTACCAAGGCATTTCATGCTAATTTTTTTGCATACTAATTTTACAGATTAGGGAATTAGATACTTGTGGAGAGGTTAAGAAATTCACCTAACATCACATGGTAGTGATACAAAATTGAACCTTGATTTACCTAGTTCCAAAGCCTGTGTTCATTGCACGTTTTTTTTTTTTTTGCTAACATGTATATTGTTGTTTATTTTTTCATGAAATGAGGGTTTCACTATGTTGGTCAGGCTGACCTTCAACTTGCTAATACTGCCACAGTCTCTCAAGTACCTGAAATTACAGTCATATAACTTTTCCCTGCTTCATCCGAATCTCTCTCCCACTCCTGCTCTTCTCACTCCTCTTTCCCTTTTCCTCTCCTCTTTTCTTTTTTCTTGTGCCAGTACTGGTACTTGAACTAGGGCCTCATGCTCTTGCTTAACTTTTGTCTTCTCTGCTTGTACTTTACTGCTTGGGCCACATCTCCACTTCTGGTTTTTTTTTTTTTTAACTAGTTAATTAAAGATAACAATCTTTAGGATTTGTCTGCCTAGATTGGCTTTGAACTGTGATTCTTAGCCTCTTAAGTAGCCATGATTACAGATGCAAACTACCAACACCTGGCTCATCAATATTTCTTGACATTACCTTGTAGTAATTTAAACCATTATGAATAATATTGAATAGTTTGTCACTGCATCTTGGCACAATTTAGTATCTATAGTTCTCAATTATGGTTTTGCCTTTAGATTAGATTTTGTGTGTGTGTGTGTGTGTCGGTCCTGGGGCTTGAACTAAGGGACTGGACACTGTCCCTGAGCTGCTTCTGCTCAAGGCTAGCACTCTACTACTTGAGCCACAGTGCCACTTCCAGCTTTTTCTCTTTATGTGATATTGAGGAATCAAACCCAGGTCTCTTCATGAATGCTAGGCTAGCACTCTACCACTAAGCCTGATTCCTAGCCCTAGATTAGATTTTAAAGAGTATGTCCTAGCATTTTTATAGGTAGATTACCCACATTGTCAAGCATAATGAATCTCACTTTAAAAATTGTAAAATTCAAAATCATGAAACAGTGTGATAAATACTAACAAGTATTGAGTACTGTCAGACACCTGTGTATATGAAATTCTATGACTTTACCAAAAGCTATCTTCACTGATAACTCATTTAAGCCACTAGATTACTGTATTGGACTCCTAATAGATCTCTTCACCCTCTGTTCTTTCCCTTTCTGTTCTCTATTGATTATCTACATGGTAATCAGTTTGTTCTGAAATTTGCAGCCAGTTTAGTTATTCACATGTTTAAAACCTTCAGTATTCTTTCAAACCATTTAAGATGTAATCCAAATGATTTAGGATAACTTGAAAGTATTCTTTATGATTCATTGGTCTCCACTCCTATCTCCCCCTCCTTCTCTCTCTTTGCCAGTCCTGGGGCTTGAACTCTGAGTCTGAGCACTGTCCCTAACCTCCTTTAGCTCAAGACTAGCACTCTATCACTTGAGCCACAGCACCACTTCCAGATTTTTTTGTGATTAATTGGAGATAAGTGTCTCATGAACTTTCCTGCCCAGGCTGGAACCACCATTCTTAGATCTTAGCCTCCTGAGTAGCTAGGATTATAGGTGTGAGCCGCTGGTGACTCACTTCTATCTTTTAAACATCTCTCTCCTTTTCTCTTTTCTCCATTCCCTCTCTTTTCTCCTCTGGTCTCCTCTCCTCTTTGTTTGTGTTTATTTGTTGGTGTTGGGAATTGAACCCAGGTCTTCATGTAAGCAAGGCAAGTGTTCTACCACTGATCCACATCCCCAGTCTAATAATTCTCTCTTCATATTAATTTTGACTTCTAATTCCTGAAAAGAACTTTGCTGTCTTTTATTATATGTACCTTCTTTCTACCCCTTTCTGCATATTTCATTTAGTTTACCTTTATTTGCTCTTCAGGGATTAGTGTTGGGCTAGGCTGGACTGGGATGGCTTGTGCCTTTAATCTCAGATTCTTAGGAATTACAGATCACAAAAATAGAGACAGCAAAGTTCAAGGCCAACTCTGAGCAAAAACAACTCTATCTCAATTTTCACAAAAAGGTAGAATGTCCTCTCAGCTATGCAGGAAAAGTAGGATATTCTAGTCTGGTCAGAGCAAAAACTTGAGACACTATCTCTAAAGTAAACAAAGAGAAAAAGAATTGCTTTGTGGCTCAAGTAATAGAGCACCTGCCTAGCAAGAATGAAGTTTTGAATTCAAATGCCAGTACTGGGGGGGGGGGGGGGGAACAAAACAAAAGCCAAAAACCAACCAAACTGTGTTACCCTAGTATGCTTCAAATATAGTTTCAATGTTTTTCTACAGCACTCTGTAATATAACTGGCTCTCTTGACTACCCTGTGTGTACTTTTTCTGTACTTGTTCATGAATTCTGGATTTTAATTTCTTTGAGGGCTTTCTTTTCTTCTCTGCACACACACACACACACACACACACACACGTGCTCGCGCTAGGGGTTCAACTTAGGGTCTTATGCATGCTAGGCAAATGGTCTACTACTTGAAATAGGCCTCCAGTCTTTTTCAAAATAATATTTTGCTTCAGAGAGAAGGTCTTGATTAGTTTCCCCAAACTGGCCTCCAGCTTGTAGTTCTACATTTCCCGAGACGATGGGATAACACATGTGCCACAGTGTCCACCTATGGCTTCATTTATTTTTACTGCTAAAAAATACCCACAATTTTAATAAACAGTGACTTCCTTCCCTGCACTATTACCACCATAACCACTAATCTACTTTCTGTCCTCAATAGAATATATCTATTTTAGGTTTTTGTATAAATATGCAGTATGTATTCTTTTAAGTTTTTATTATAAAGGTGATATACAGAGAAGTTATTGTACTCTTAGCACACTTTCTGGGGCTTATAGTAGTGTATATACAACTTCATTTTTATGGCCAAATGATGCTCCATTGTATAAATATACCATATTTTTTAATGTGTTCATCAGTTTATGGACAGTTGGGTCATTTCTACCTGTTGGCTATTATGAATTATACTGCATGTTCATGTACAAGTTTTTTGTGTGGATTTGTGTTTTCATGTCTCATGTGTTTACAAGTAGAAGTACCCACATGATATTTCTATCAGGCTTTTACTCTGATAATACTTTCAATTCATAAGCCAGTACAGAAAAAAGAGCTGTGGTACTCCAGTGTACTTTAATTATCCCTTCAGTGTTTTCCTACAGCTTTATTATACTATATATGCTTTCAAAAATATTTATTAAATCAGTCAATTGGATTATGTTCTTCTAAATACAGTGAATATAGGGATTAAAAGGGCTGGGGAAGAGTCAAGGAAGACTTTACAGAACTAAGTCTCCAAGTAGGACTTCACTAAGTGGGAAGGGAGAAAAGGATGGAGGGAAGGAGGAGACAGGCATGTACAGAGGCCTCAAAACTTGAATCAAGTAGTTTTGAGTATGCTTTGTTTTTTTTTTTTTTTGTGCCTGGGCACTGTCCCTGAGCTTTTTACTCTTCCATTTGAGCCATAGCTCTGTTTCTGGCTTTTTTTGGTGATTAGAGTTGTGTCTCATAGACTTTCCTGCCTAGGTTTAGCCCTAAACCATGATCCTCAGATCTCAGTTTGTGAGTAGCTGGGATTACAAGAGTGAGCCACCGGCACCTGGCTAGCAAGATCTTTTAAGATAAAGATCAACATCATGTAATGTTACAAAAATATATCTATTGAATTTTGCATTTAGGGATTTAGCGTTTTTGAAGAACAGATCCAGTATAATAATTCCAATGGAATCAGATTATGATGAATTTAGTGTTAAGTAAGGAAAATGGAATTATGAGTAGATGCCATCTTTCCCAGTTTGAATTGAAAGAGATCAAGAGGGAGGAGCAGCGTGGATAGTTATAGTTCTAGCAGTGGTTAACTGCTAAGATTGTCTTGATTGCAGCTTCCTTATACTTAGCTTTTCCTCTTATACTTAGCTTTTAAAAATGGTTTATTATCAGACTTTTGTCTACTTAGATTTTTTGTGTTTTATATTACATTTTTATTTCAAATGTTGATCATAAGGAGCAGTCCTTTGGTCAGATAAGTTTATTTTGAAATTATGATCCTTAATTGCTTTTCTATATGTTTATTTCCATAATACCCATAAAATAGAAGTAGTGGTAGCAGCTTTCAAGAAAGTCCTTCAGTTCCATCTTGTAAGGAAAATGACAAGAAATTTCATGGTGAAAAGATGGAGAGTTCCATTGATGAACATCTTCAGACTGCTGCAGATGATTCTTTGCAAAGTGATAGCATTCCATCTCTTCCTGATGAGAAAGGTAAGTTTCCTTATACACACTACACACTACACACTACACACTACACACACACACATACACAATTACTTGTGTATAACTGAGGAAAGGTGATTCTTGTTATCAGCTAGCAAATAACTTTTGGAGTCCGTCCTGATGAAGTCAACTTCCATGTAATGGGAAAATAAAGAATATAGGAAAGTAATAGAGAAATTATTATTATTAAGTTTGTCCTATAAGATAAATTTAACCTCTCCTAAATTTTATGTCATTAATAATGGTACTTGTAATTAAAGTACTAATAGAGGGTAAATTTAATTATCAATAATGTCTGAATAGTATGATAGTTAATAACGTATGGGTGGCTTATTTATGGTTGTATCTCAAGCATTTACCATAGTGCCAGGCTTCCAATAGCGAAGAATAAATAATTATCAAGTGACTATTTAGAAATGTCATGAACTATGACTTATTTATGTAACTTCTTTAAACAATATTAAATTATTTGGACTACTAATCATTATAGAGGAGCAGAGACCAGGGTTACTTCTTAAAATAATTAAAATAGCAGATAAATAACTTTTAAAAAATATTGTATGTTGGGCAGTAAGAGATGTTAACTTAGGAGAGATTAGAAACTAATGAGATAGATAGTACAACTGTCCCAATTTACTGCCTAGAGATTTTCTAGATTCAAGAGCATATAATCCAGTGATCTCCCTGAGATAACAGAATTAAATGCCAGGTGCTAGTGGTTTAGTTCTGAGACTTGAGGTTTGAAGCCAGCCTAGGCAAACAAATCCATGAGACCTTTATCTCCAATTAACCACCAACACACTGTAACTAGCGGTGTGGCTCAAATTGCAGAGCACTAACCTTAAATGAAAAAGCCAAGAGTGTGAGGCCCTAGGTTCTTCAACATCCTATGTTTTCAAACAAAAGAGCATCAAAATCACAGTGCAATCAAACTTTGTCATCTTTTACTTCAAGATTCTAGAATAACAAATTACTGCTCAAATTGTACCTGATGAATTCTGTCTGAATTAAATTTTCAAGTGTTCAATTTTTTTCAAGGGTTAAATCCCCTATAATATTTACTTACTTTAGATCATTATAAAGTGAATTCATGTTGCTTTATAGATTGTAAATTATTTGTGTCAGAGTATGTCTTTTACCATAGTCTCAACTCATATTTCCTAGACAGGCATTTCTTTCTTGTATTGCCTTCTGATACTGAAACCTCCTTTGAAGCTCAAAGTATTATCCTCTTTGGTTATTTGGTTATTATCCTCTTTGTGGTTACTTTGATCATTTTGCCTTAACTTAAAAAAGATTTTCTGTGTAGGCAAGAAAGATTACCAGGTAATTTCTTGTCATATATTGCTATCTGTCCATTCATGCTACAAATATTTGTCATCAACTATGCACTAATATTAAATTGTTGTAGATAAGGTAGTAAATGAAACCACAAAATTAAATTGCAATAGGAAATCTGTTTTTATAATAGGGGAAGTTAAAAATTGGTTTAACTTCGGGGCTGGGAAGGTGACTCAGTGGTAGAGCGCTTGCCTTGCATGCATGAGGCCATGGATTCGATTCCTCAGCACCACATAATCAGAAAAGCTGGAAGTGGTGCTGTGGCTCAAGTGATAGAGTGCTAGCCTTGAGTAAAAGAAGCTCAAGGACCATGCCCAGGCCCTGAGGGGATGGAGGGGGAGATTTTTTTGTTCCATGCTTACAATGAAGTAAAATGGAATAAGTACACACATTTTCCCAGAAATCTTTCTTTTGCTTTATATTAAATGTTAGCATTAATGTCTGTCTATAAAACTTCAGGATAAAAGTAATTTTTTACATAGCAACTAATGTATGAATAGTGCGTTAGGTGCTGCTGTTCTCATTTTTAGCTTTGAAGGAACCTTTTTCTTAATTTTCATTTTGTTTCCACTCAGTATTTTTTTATTTTAGAAGAACTCAGGACAGAGAGGAGTTGCTGTTAAATTAAGCATTGTGTTTGGTACTTAGAAGTCGGCTGTTGATTGTTCCACTGCTTGGCTGTTCTTTTACCCATCATTTTCTAGTTTCTTTTGCTTTCTCCTTTTCTGGACTAGGAAAAGTTAAAGACCTATCAACCTTTCACTGACTTTCAGCCGGTGTTCACATTTACACAGATCAGCTTAGATAACTTTACCAAATAGCTGGGTCAATTCAGTTATAACATGAGTTTAAAACGTCTATTCTATGTGAAAATGGAAGTAGGTAAATTGAAATTGGTGGGGAGAGGTAGAGGAGAATTATCAAAGGGGTGACATTGATCAAGATTCATTGTACTCACAAACTGACATGTGAATTAAATTCCCTTTGTACAACTACTTAAGGATAGTAAATAGATATAACAAGAACAACAAAATCACCATGCAAGATCAGGCCTAGTGGGCATATACTTCCAGCACTCAAGAGACTTAAGGCTGGAGGATCGCTTGAACTCAGGAGATCTGAGATCAGCCTGGGCAATATAGACTCTCAAAAAAAAAAAAAGAAAAAGAAAAATTACACAGAGACTACAATATGCCATACCACACTATACCTATTAGAAAGGCTAAAACCTAAAAAAACCCCAGACAATAACAATTGGATATCAGCTTGCATTCATTGCTAGTGAGGATGCAAAATGGGTGGTGACTATGAAAGAGTTTTATAGTGTCTCACAAGACTTATCAGGTGACCCGCAATCACATGTCTAGACATTTGCCCAGTGATTTCAAACTTTATGTCCATATTAAAAACTAGACTGATGTTTATAACTAATTGCTAAAAACTGGATACAACCAAGGAGAACAGCATTTCATTCCATATAGTGAAATATTATTAAAAGGAGCAGCTGCTGGGTGTGGTAATACATTCCTGTAATTCCAGTACTTGGGGGTTTAGACAGGCAGATTGTGAGTTCAAGGCCAGTGTGGGCAACATAGAGAGTACAAGGTCATCTTTGGCGACATAGTAAAACCTTAATCTAAAAAACAACAAAGGGCTGGGAAGGTGGTGGAGTGCTTGCCTTGCATGCATGAGGACCTGGGTTCAATTCCTCAGCACCACATAAGCAGAAAAAGCTGGAAGTGGTGCTGTGGCTCAAGTGGTAGAGCGCTAGCCTTGAGCTGAAGAGATGAGGGACAGCGCCCAGGCCCAGAGTTCAGGCTCATGGCTGACAAAACAACAACAACAAAATCTATTGATTCTTGCAATAACATGGATAAATTTTAAATGGATTTTAACCAAATGAAGAACTCTCAAAAGGTTATTTTTTGTATGATTCTGTATTTATGACATTTGGGGAAAGGGAAAATTATAAAGGTAGAAAACATTGATTTCCAGGCAAATGGTGGAAAATGAAGTAGTTGTCCATAGGAGGGATACACTTTTAGAATGGAGGAACAGTTAATGGCATTTATATTTTCTATATACTGCTATACATTTCTCAAGCCCTGTGTATTACAAAGACTATTTTAATGTATATGAACTAAACATGTACACACATATCAACCAGGATTTGGGGAATCCCAGGGTGGAATATGACTGTGAATAATGAATCTGATTGTATTACAGATATGTGGCATAACCATGTTGAAGAGGTGTACTAAGTAAAGTTCTTTAGAGGAACAGAACCAATAGGAGATATATATATATATATATATATATATATATATATATATATATATATATATATGAATATGAGAGTATTATTAGATTGGCTTATCCATTTAGTGGACACATAGCTCCACAATAGCCATCTGCAGGCTGGCAAGCAGTGAAACCTGCTCAGATAAAGAATCTGGAAGCCTCAGAATAAGGACCAGTGAGACATACTGAATATGGTATTGAAGGCTCCCTGGAGAGTAGCAGGTACAAATCTGCAATTGAAGACCTGTGATCTTCCAAGTTTTCCCTTTTTCTTTTTGCTATATCTAGACTCCCAGCCTATTGGACAGTGCCTCCCACAGGTCTTTCTCACTCAGTTTGCTGACCTAGATGTCCTTCATCTCTGTAAATACCCTTGTAGCCACACCCAGAGGTCTACTTTACCAATTTTAAGTATCAGTGTAGTCAAATTGACAACTGGATGACATATCATAAGGAGAAAAGAGAGCTGACATAGGAAATATTAGAAAGTGTTATTTTGAGTAAAAATTGTAAGTCTAATGCTAAAGGAATTGTATAGAAATCTGTAGTTAGTTGGTAAGTTTTTTTTTTTTTGTCTTTTCTTTTTTGGTACTGGGGATCGAACCCAGGATGTTACACTTGCTAGGCAAGCCCTTTGCCACTGAGCTACATCCCAGCCCAGTAAGTTTTTTTTTTTTGAGATACAAGTTAATTGTTCCTAATTTACATATTGTAGTTGAATGAATAAGTAACTGAGTATTGAATGGGGGAAGCCAGGCTTCTCATGTTGGTGAGGAAAATTGCAAATATACAAAAAAGGAAGACAAGATTGAATTCTCTGATACTGAATTTTGAGTCACATCAGTATGAATTTGTTTGGTTTATTGTATGAATGGATACAAAAATAATTTTGGTAAATGTGTGTCTGCATGGATACCCAGGTGAATGTGCATGCGTATGTTGCTTAGTACTGGCCAGTGAGCAAGTGCAGAAGCATTGATACTTTACTGGTAATAGTGACAACCAGTATGCAGATAATGCTTCCTAAATCTCATTCTCCAATGAAGGAAACCGTTGTTCTTTGGAGAAATTGCTGACTTGAGGGTTGCAGGAAAAAATACAAAGTGAGTCTGAAGCATCTTGTGATAACAGAAAGAAAAGCAACATTCACTAAACAAAAGGCTTGGGCTGGGAAGGTGGCTCAGTGGTAGAGTACTTGCCTTGTATGCCTGAGGCCCTGGGTTCAATTCCTCAGCACCACATAAGCAAAAAGAAAAAAGCCGGAAGTGGCGCTGTGGCTCAAGTGGTAGAGCGCTAGCCTTGAGCTGAAGAACTGAGGGACAGAGCCCAGGCCCAGAGTTCAGGCCCCATGACCGGACGCTCCCCCCCCCCCCGAAAAAAAAAGGCTTGGGGGTGTGCCAGAGGTACACAAAGACCAACCTGAAAGATTTGTCTTGTTTTTAATAAAGTATGGAGATAAGATTTTAGTTATTTCCTGTCTAGTAATGTTAAAATTGTTCTTTTTTAAAATTTCAATTCTTTTTTTCCTTAGTTATCTTAATTTTTTAAATTGTTATTTTGAAGGTGATGTGTACTGTTCAACATTTTTTAACATATCTTTATTTTGTTTGCTTCTGTTTTCTTTGTGAAGTATCTGGTTATAATCATTTCCTCTTTCTATAGTGTAGTAGTGATTTTTCTAATTGGTTAGAAAGAGCTTTTTAAATATGAAATGAATTAACTTAAAATATGAAATGCATTAACTTTTGATCATGTTTCTCATCCTTTTATTTCTGGGTAGTTTTTGAGGTGTGTGTGTGTGTGTGTGTGTCTGTCTGTCTGTCTGTCTGTCTGTGTGTGTCTGTGTGTGTGTCTGTGTGTGTGTGTCTGTGTGTGTGTGTCTGTGTGTGTGTGTGTGTGTGTGTGTGTGTGTGTGTCTGTGTGTGTGTCTGTGTTTTGCCGGCTTTTTCTGCTTATGTGGTGCTGAGGAATCGAACCCAGGGCTTCATGCACGCAAGGCAAGTACTCTCCTACTGAGCCACCTTCCCAGCCCCAGTTTTTGAGGTTTTTGTCGTTCAGAAGAAAAATGAAGTTTGGTTATTTTATTTTCCCTGCCTAGTAATTGTTTGTGATTGATTTTATGGATTTATGTTGAATTAGCTCAGAAAGAGGAAAAGGGCTACACTTGGACACCTACCAAAAACAGGATGATAAAATCTCCTTTGTTCTTACTCTTTTAGATTCAACTTCTATTGCAACAGAATATTCTCTGAAATTTGATGAATCCATGACAGAAGATGAAATAGAAGAAAAATCATTTCGATCTTTATTACCTTCTGAGAGCCATCGCAGATTTAACATGGAAATGAAAAGAAGCCATCATGATGACTCTGATGAAGAAGCCTCCCCAGAAAAGACTGCACTGTCTTCTGCCAAGGTGTGCTTTTATTTCCCCGTGGAGGTAAATGGTTGAGGGTGTATTCTCAAAAGTATGAGAATACATAGTATATTTCACCTCACTTGTCAGCTATCAGAGTTATTTTCCACACGATCAGTTTTATGTTATAATTTTTTCCAAGTAGAATACAAACATTCCTTAAAACAAGATAAGGCTTTTGAATGTCTGAGCCAACATCTTCATAGCTTTTTCACCTGATCCTCTCTCCTCTCCTCCCTTCCCCTCCCCTCTCCTCCTTTCTTATTTTTTTGTCTTCCTTTCCTCCTTCCTTTCTTCCCTCCCTCCTTCCCTTTTTCCTTCCTTCTCTTTCTGTCTCTCTCTCCCTCTCTTTCTGTCTCTTCCTCCCTCTTTCCTTCTTTCTCTCTCTCTTCCTTTCCTTCTTTCTCTCCCTCACCTCTTAGTATTAGAGATTAAACTTAAAGCCTCCCACTTGAGCCATGCCATGTTTGTATTTTGTGTTTGAAATAGGACTTCACTAACTTTGCCAGGGCTAGCTTCCAAATCAGTCTTCCTATCTCTGCTTCATTCTTTTAACACTGTCCTATTTCAAACTTTACATTTATTCTTGTCAACATATATGTCTTTTGTATAATAGGATCAAATTCTTACCCATTTTATTCCAGGGGAAATACTTTTTTTTTCCCCCTAGTGCTAGTCATGGGACTTGAACTCAGGACTTGGGCTTTTGTGCTCAAGGCTAGCACTCTACCACTTGAACCAAAAGCTCTGCTTCTAGCTTTTTAGTGGTTAATTGGAGATAAGAGTCTCATGGACTTTCTTGCCCAGGCTGGCTTTGCATTACCGTCCTAGATCTTGGCCTCCTGACTAACTAGTATTATAGGCATGAACTACCTGTCCACATATTTTACATTCATTGTTAAGATTTCATTGACTGAATAAATAAGCAGATAAATTCCGGTCTCATGTGTTTTTATCTAAGAGTATTTTCCTATGTGGTTATAGCTTTGTAAATTTACTTATTTGTTTACTTACCTATTTATTTTTGAAGTTGAATCTCACTGTGTTGCTCAGGTCAGTCTCAAACCTCATGTGCTGTAGTGATTCTCCTGCCTCAGCCTTCAGAGTAGCTGGTGTTATAGGCATGTGCACCCACTCTTAGCTATGCACACTTATAAATGTGTATTTCTTTTAATAACATTAACTACCAAAATGTTAGGAAGATGATAAACTAAGTAAACTCTATTTTAGGATCTGAGTATGCCATTCTCAGGAGGACAAGATAGCTTTTCTAAGTTTACTATGGAAATGGTTCGACAGTATATGAAAGAAGAGGAAATGCGTGCAGCTCACCAGTCTTCACTTTTGCGGCTCCGAGAAAAGGCCTTGAAGGAAAAAACTAAGGCTGAATTAGCCTGGCTAGAACATCAAAAAAAGTAAGTTCTTTAAGTAAACATAGTTTTCACGGTTTGTTTCTTCCGTAAAAAGGAATTGCCTCATGTTTTGAGATACTTTCGTTTTCATGTATATAAGTGTTTGTTAAAGTTCAAATCTAGGGTTCGAGGCATTCTAAGCACAGTCTCTACCCACCTAACTCCATCCCTTGTCTCCCCTCATCTTACTTGATTTTATCAATTTGGCTTTCAGGTTATGGCAGTGATCTTCAATTTGTGTTACTTTCAAGACCTCCATCTTACCTGCAAAACATTTTAATTTCTCTAGGATTGCTATAACTGACTCATTTTTATTTTCATTTTATACATGATTCCTCTAGAGTTCTTCTGGATGTAAAGGACCATAATCAACATATACATATATTATATACAAATGAATTGATAACATGATACCTGTTTTTGACATGTGAATGTGTCACATTAGTTTATATATTTTTCATAGTCAAGAATTCTTGAAAGCTAGTCTTTGTCTCAATAAAAAATATTATTTGCAGACATCTAAGAGACAAAGGAGAGGATGATAAAATGCCCCCACTCAGGAAGAAACAGCGTGGATTGCTTTTAAAGTTACAGCAAGAAAAGGTATGTTAGAAAAAACATCTTTCTTGGTGATTTAAAGCAAATTAATTTGTGAAAGTTATTATTTTACCTAAACACTTCTTATCAACTTAAATACGAGTTATGTGATACTTATTATGGTTTATAACTACAGTACTAAAATTGTAGAGAATCTTGGTAATCTAATGTATTTTTTTACTTTAGAGTAGTGTCACTGCTAATTTAATATGCAGCCATATTTTCTGCCTTTTTTAATCTTTTGAAATCTGTGTCTTAAAAATATAATTTGGGCCGGGCGCTGGTGGCTCACGCCTGTAATCCTAGCTACCCAGGAGGCTGAGATCTGAGGATCGCGGTTCAAAGCCAGCCCGGGCAGGAGAGACCGTGAGACTCCTATTTCCATTAACCACCAGAAAACCGGAAGTGGCGCTGTAGCTCAAGTGGTAGAGCGCTCCCCTTGAGCTGAAGACTGAGGGACAGCGCCCAAGCCCAGAGTTCAAGCCCCACGACCGACAAAAAAAAAAAAATATATATATATATATAATTTGGAAGAGAAAATGTATGAGTTAATTTTTTTAGTCATTGTTTTCCCTAAGGTTTCAGGGCATATTAATTACCTATTGACAAATATTTTGGCATAATGGCCCTAGACTTTGTTTTTGCATCTTGGAGAGACAGTGTGGTGGTATGGTAGTTAAGAATTCAGGCTATGGAGTCTTATTAGATTGCCTGCCTAGGCTAACTTCCAACTCTACTACAAAATTATGAGTTTTATATAACTGTGAACAAATAAACTTTCTCCATCTCAGTTTCCTCATCTGTAAAATGAGGATGATAATAGTAACATACTTGATAGCATTGTTAGGAAGATTGGGTTGATACATAATTTAAATAAAGAGCTGACCTTGATACAACCGTGAGTAATCAATGTCACTTTCAACTATATAATCATGGTCTAGTTTAAGTAATTCTTTGAGACTTACTGTACTTCATATGGTGGTTATAGTAATTAAATGTATTTCACAGTAATTGGTCAATATTCAAATGTTCTTTTTCCGTATTAATCTATTGTCAGATACTAGCTATTACATTAGATGATTTATGAACTTGATTATTTGAGTTATAATTAGATTATTACTTGCATAGTTTTGTTTTTTTTTGTTTTGTTTTATTTTTTCTCAGTTGGCTTAAACTTGGGGTTGGGCACTACCCCTGAGCTCTTTTGCTCAATGCTAGTGTTCTACCACTCTTAGCTATCATTTCACTTCCAGTTTTCTGGTGGTTAATTGGAGATATGAGTCTCATGGACTTTCCTGCCTGGGCTGGCTTTGGACCATGATCCTTAGATCTCAGCCTTTTGAGTAGCTAGGATTACAGGCGTGAGACAATGGTGCCAGGATTGTGTGTGTTTTTTTTTTTTTGTTGTTTTGTTTTTTGTTGTTATTTTGTTGGTTGTGGGGCTTGAACTCTTGGCCTGGGCACTGTCCCTGAGCTCTTCAGCTCAAGGCAAAGTGCTCTACCACTTAAGCCATAGCACCACTTTTGATTTTCTGGTGGTTAATTGGAGATAAGAGTCTCATGGACTTTCCTGCCTGGGCTGGCTCTGAACCGTGATCCTCAGATTTCAGCCTCCTGAGTAGCTAGGATCACAGGCATGAGCCACCAACTCCTGGCTGGCTTGCATAGTTTCTTAAAAAGAAATTCACCAACAAAACATCACTGATTGTATGAATTTAAGTCTGAACTTTATTCTTGAGAAAAGTTACATCTTTTTAGTCTTAAATAACTTGAAATAAATTAAAATTACTAACTTTTTACACTGAAAAGTAGAAGGAATACTAGATTTATGAATTTGTTTTTTTGATTATGTGGTTTTGTGAAAACTACTTTTTCTTCCCCTCACAGTCCTTCAGACTTAGCTGAATTATAGACATAAGCCACTACATCCAGCATGTTTTCTTAATACTTTCTTTTAAGCACATACAAAATTTTTTGGTGCCCAGCCATACATATTCTTAAGGAAACAAAAATGGTGAGAGACAGTGGCTCATGCCTATTATCCCAGGCTGAGATCTGAGGATCAGGGTTTGAAGGCAGCCTGAGTAAGAAAGTCGATATTTTATTTCCGATTAGCCACCTAGAAAGCCAAAAATGGAACTATGGATTCAAGTGGTAGAGCATAAACCTTAAGCAAAAAAACAAAAAATCCCAAGTGTCATGGCATAGGTCCTGGGTTCAAGCCCCTGTGCTAGCACTCACGCACGCGTGCACGCGCACAAACACACACACACACACACACAAGCTACTATTAAGTTAGTATGTTTTAATTACAATTATTTCAATTCAAAAGATATTGTGAATTATTCCAGTGTATTGTATGTAATACTTTTCCTTACTACTTTTAATTTTTTTAGTATTATTAGTTACCTTTAAATACTATATATATATATATATATATATATATGTATATATATATATGCCTTTATGTATATGTATGTACTTATTTGTAAGACATTGGATTTTTTCCTTTTAAAATAGAACTTTGGGCTTGCCTCCTTCAAATCTTAATCCCTCTCTTAACTCTTTAAACTTTAGGCAGAAATAAAACGTCTTCAAGAAGCCAATAAGGCAGCTCGTAAGGAAAGACAACTCATTCTTAAGCAGCAAGAAGAGATAGAAAGGATCCGACAGACTACCATAAAATTGCAGGAAAAGTTGAAGTCTGCAGGGGAGAATAAATTGGTAAATTACATGAAATTATTAGTAGTTTGTTTTCTGTACCCTGTTACTTACCAATGCCATATCCCACCTCATGTTCTTGTGTGATGAGTATATGTTCATTCTAACAGTGTGATATGATAATGAACTAGGATGAAGTTGTATAAATCTATCTTTAGCAGAAAACTATAGTCTTGCTTATCAACCTACCTATATTCCTCAAAATTAATAGGAGAAACTAGTTTGTTCTCTATGACACTTATTTCAGCTATCTAATCTTAGTAGTATAATGATACAAGATTCATAGATACATAGACAAGAACCAAATTTAGATCTAAAGTACTGTGAAGTTGACAGTATGAAAAACACTAGACTAAGCCAGGCGCCAGTGGCTCATGCCTGTAATCCTAGCTACTCAGGAGGCTGAGAGGAGGATTGCAGTTTAAAGCCAGCCCCGGCAGGAAAGTTCGTGAGACTCTTATCTACAGTAAACCACTAGAAAACCATAAATGGTGCTGTGGCTCAAGCGGTAGAGTGCTCACCTTGAACTGAGGAGTGCAGGGACAGCGCCCAAGTCCCAGAGTTCAAGCCCCACAACTGACCAAAAAAAAAAAAAAAAGAAAGAAGAAAAATACCAGACTATAAACCAGCATAATTTTTAATATTTAATATTTTCTTTGATTTTTAAAATACACTTTAAATTTTGAAGCAGTCTCAGAGTTACAAGAAATTTTCAAACAGTACGAAGAATTTTGTTTCTCTGAGTTATCATGTGACAGTAAGTTGCCTGTAAATTGATATTGGTACATTATGACCATTTTAGCTTACAAACCCTTTAAATTTCTCCTTTTACAACATAGTGACATATTGCATTTAGTTTCCATGTTTCTTTAGTATTTACTCTGGAAGAAGTTTTTTGATCTTGAGACTAGAACTTTACATATCAGTTTTTGTTTTGCTTTCCTTTTCTGTTTTTTTTTTAATGTTTTGTGTGTGAGTAAAATAGTCATTATCTGGACTTTGTCTGGTTGCCTCATGATTAAATTCAGTTCGTACATCTGTGCCAGAATATCAGAGAGGTAATGCTATATTATTGTTGCATATGATCAGATGGTACTTGATTTTGATTGATCCTGTTATTGATAGTGTCCTGGTCACTTGACTAAGGTAGCATTTACTGGCCTTTATTGTAAAATTACTTTCTTTCCTCCCTTATAATTAAAAGTAATTTACAGGGCTGGGAAGGTGGCTCAGTGGTAGAGCGCTTGCCTTGCATGCTCGAGGCCCTGGGTTCGATTCCTCAGCACCACATAAGCAAAAAGAAAAAAGCCGGAAGTGGCACTGTGGCTCAAGTGGTAGAGCACTAGCCTTGAGCTGAAGAGCTGAGGGACAGTGCCCAGGCCCAGAGTTCAGGCCCCATGACCGGACCTCCCCCCCCCCAAAAAAAAAAGTAATTTACATGGGAATATTTTGAAACTGCATAAATGTCCTCTCAATTTCAAGTTTAGTTTGTTTATGTTATGATATTATCTAATTAGTCACAATCAGACTTATAGTCAGTTATTGTCATCATTTATTTGGTGTTCATTTTCTTCTATATTGAACCATTAAGAGTTCCTTAAACATACATTTCTGTGTCCTTTTGGCACCTCATCTGTCTTAAGCATTTTCATGCTTTCTAGAGCAAAAGGATATTTCAGGATAATTTTAATGTCCTAGCATTTAAAATCAGCTGATCGCCTAGCACCAGTGGGGTTCATACCTGAAATCTTAAGTACTCAGGAGGCTGAGATCTTAGGATCATAGTTAAAAAGCAGCTCAAGGAGGAAAGTCCTTGAGATACTCATCTCCAGTTAACCACCAAAATGCCAGAAGTGCAGCTATGGCTCAAGTGGTGCCAGGCTTCAGTGAAAAAGCTAAGGGACTGCATTTCAGGCCCTGAGTTCAAGCCCTAGTATAGGAGAGAGAGAAAGAGGGAAAGGGAGAGGGAGAGAGAAAAGAAGAAAGGGAGAAAAAAAAGAGGGAGTCTGACTTTCTTCTTTGGTAGGTAATTAGCTAACATCTTCCTTAGAAAATTAGAGATTTGATCATTCCTTCTATGTAACCCATCTTGCATAACCACTGATACTCTTTCCTTTTGTGGATATCCTTCAATCTTGGTTTAAGCTGGTCTCTTCAGTTAAATCATTCCCCATCCCCATGTTCCTTCTCTATACTTTCCCTCTCTTTTCTTTGGGCTCTAACATCTGTGTGAGGAAGTTCTCTGTGGGAAGGCTATCCTTACTGTGTCTGTGCTCATGACCTGTATTGGCCCACATCCCTGTGAACATTATTTTTGCCCCATCTAGACTCTGATTTCCTACACAGGCTAGCCTCCTGTTTTCTTCACCCTTCTCAGATTCTGACACACCACTTCTGGTCCCTTTCTTCTTTCCCGTTACATGAACATCTGTCTTGTTCTCCACCTAATGACTTTAAGATGGGCTTGTTCAGTTAAGGGAAATTCCAAAGCAAAAGGTCATGAAATAAAAAGACATGATTATCCTTATCTATCTTCCTTAAAAGTTATGTGCATAAATGACTGTAGGAAAAAGAAATACTAAGCAATTAAATTTTATTTTATTTATTTTTTTGGTGGGTCGTGGACCTTGAAATTTTTTAAATCATAAGTAATATAATGCTTAAGCAAGTATGTGAAATTACTATTTTCTGCATTTAAAGAAAAAAATCCATCAAATAAGTGTATTCCTTCTGTTTATTCTTTTTGTATGTCGAACATTTATATTTTATATAGCTATAGCGTCACTCTTTTTGAGAAAGTCAGCACATGTGAATACTAGAGACCTTCTGGTAGAGGATTTTTAGGTTTCTTTTTCTAAATTTTTAGAAGTTTTTAAGTTATTATGTGTGATACATTGTTAGTTTATATCTGTCTCTACAACTTGCCTTCCCTCTCTGTGGTAAAAATATATAAAACATAAAATGTACTTTCTTTCCCTTGATTAAATCTCACTGTGTTAGCCCAGGCAGGCTACATACTTGTGATCCTCCTCCTGCCTTTGCCTTCCAGGTACTAAGATTATAGGTATCTGCCACATGGCTCATTTTTAACTATGTGATGTTTTTTTTTTTTTCCTTGAGTAGTCAATATTGTAATTGCACCTATTATTATAAACACTGTTTTCAGTTTAATTTTAAATTGAATGTGTTTAAGATCCTTCTAAAGAGTGAAAATTTGTTCCTTTCTTTTTTTTCTTTGTTCTTCAGGACTCTCACAGTGATGATAATGCAAGGGATATCAAGGCAGTTAGTCCTGGTCCTACAGATATAGAGACCCGCAGTCCTTCTCCCATTTCAATCTCCAGCAGTGAAACTAGCAGCATCATGCAGAAACTGAAGAAAATGAGAAGCCGCATGGATGAAAAGTAATTAATTTTAATTTTTTAAATGTCCTGTTTAGTTACATTGAAAATAGTAGCAACAAGTATTATTTTTAATACACTTTATTGTATTAGATTGAGACAAAAAGGTATTGTATAGATTTAATCACATCTTAACAGAATTTGTAGATCAACCTAGGAGTTAATTAATTGTAGATCTTATTTATAAAACAGTCTCTCTCATTTTAGTAGAGATAGGTTTCTCATTTAAAAACAAGATGTATTCATTTATGTATCGTAACAGTATTTTTTCTTTTACTAGAAGAAGTCTTACCTACCAACTTTGAGACCAAACTATATCCTCACATCTCATTCTCTGGTTCTCTTGACAATTCTCAGGCTTACTCATATAGAAGAATGAAATTTTAACCTTGTGAATAGTTCAACTGAAACCAGATAGGCTGAGATTCTTTGGAATGTTGAATGATTTCTTATTCTTGCAGACTTTTAAGAAAAGTTTCTAAGGTTTTTCTCTTCCCATCCCTTCTTAAATAAATGCTGCATGATATTTATCATATGATTGTTAAAATTAACTTTTAATTAAAATATATAATGAATACATAATATGTGTACATACACATATAGATATAATGTTCTCTTTCCATGAAATAAGCCAAGTAAGCTTTCTTCAAAAAGCATTTATTGAAATTTGAGCTGTCAAGTAGAGCTCACTTTCCTGGAATACTTGAGGCCCTCAGTTTAATCCCTAGCACTGGAAAAAAGTTTTTTAGGGGCTGGGAAGGTGGCTCAGTGGTAGAGCGCTTGCCTTGCATGCATGAGGCCCTGGGTTCCATTCCTCAGCACCACATAAGCAAAAAGAAAAAAGCTGGAAGTGGCGCTGTAGCTCAAGTGGTAGAGCGCTAGCCTTGAGCTGAAGAGCTGAGGGACAGTGCCCAGGCCCAGAGTTCAGGCCCCACAATCGGACCCCAAAAAAAAAAAAAGTTTTTTTTAAAGAATTTGTTGGAAGTTAGGCTAAAGATGCTTGTCTGCTTTTCTAATAAAATTTGCCTACTTGGCTGAGATCTGGAGGATTGCAATTTGAGGTCAGCACAAAATTACTAAATTGTGAGGTCAATTTCTGTGGTGCTGATTTTAGATTTGAAAATCCTAAAACACAGGTGATCACTGATGGTTCACACCTTAATCCTAGCTCCTCAGGAGGCTGAGATCTGAGTATCGCCATTCCTAGCACGGGAAGACAAATTCTTAAGACTCTTAGCTTCAAATACCAGTTAAAAAGTCAGAAGTAGATATTTGGTGCAAGTGGCAGAATACCAGGTGTTAGGGGAAAAGAGAGAGAAGAGAGCGAGAGAAAGAGAGAAATAGAAAGAGTACGCATGCTCAAGAGCTGAGGTTGAGTTCAGGCCCCAGAGCCAGCACATTACCCCCCGCCCCCCCCCACACACAAACTCACTCACTCCTGAAAGACTTGTTCCAAGTTTTAAATTTCATAGAATCAGAAGTATTAGTTTATTAGGTGCCAGTGGCTCATGCTTTTAATCCCAGCTACTCAAGAGGCTGAGATCTGAGGATTACAGTTTGTAGCCACCCCAGGCAGGAAAGTTCCTGAGACACTTAATCTCCAATTAGCCACCAAAAAAAAAAAAAAAAGGGAGGGAAGCTGTGGCACAAGTGGAAGAGCACTAACCTTGAGCAAAAAAGCTTATGGACAGTGCTCAGGCCCTGAGTTCAAACCCCAGGACCAGCACACACACCCACAAAAATATCAGTTGCCTAAAATTTTATATTATTGTTCTGTGTTTCTTTGTCAACTATTAAAAGTAGACTTGGGAACTTTATGAAGGACAATAAGCCTGGGAATGTTCAGTGACTTTGTAATGCAATTGTGTTCTAAGAATATGGGATGAAGACCATAGTGACAAAGAAATGTTTAGATGATGGCTGAAATTTGAAGATAAGCTGAATTATTTTTCAAAATTAATGACATGTTAAATTTATTGTTCAGATAGTTCTGTTAAGCACTCAAAAATTTTGGTCTCTTAAACTTAAATGGTGTCACAATTACCAAAGATTTACAGGTAAGTCTCCTTTAACTCCAACTGATGTTAGAATAATTTTATAGTTACTACTGCCAATACTTAGCAACAAAATTATGTGAATTTTTACTACTTTTTTTTTTGGTTGTTCATGGAGCTTGCACTCTGGGCCTGTGTACTGTCCTTGAGCTCTTCAGATCAAGGCTAGCTCTCTACCACTTGAGCCACAGCACCACTTCTGTTTTTCTGGTGGTTAATTGGAGATGAGAGTCTCAAGGACTTTCCTGCCTGGGCTGGCTTTGAACTTCAGTCCTTGTATCTCAGCCTCCTAAGTAGATAGGATTACAGGTGTGAGCCACTGGTGCCTGACCCCTTTGCTACTTTTTGGTCAAGTACTTTTATTTCGTGAATAGATTTGCAAAGACAGTCAGAACTATTTTTATATGTATATATTTATATATATATGTATATATTTTTATACAGCTTTTATGCACACATATCAAAGAGTAGTCATCCTGCCTAATGAGTTTGACATATTTTGGAAGACAACTTTTATATATATGTGTGTGTATATATATATGTATATGTGTACACACACAAATTTTTTTACTGTTATCCATCTAATCTCTGCTTTCTATATTTTTTGAAGTGATGATACCACTCTTGGCTACAATGCAAGAATTCCTTCAATGTTTTACTAGAAAATAAGCTGTCATATTTCTGATACATGGCTTGTCTTAACTTTGCTGAGTTGACATTTTATGAATAATTTTCTTCCATTTATTAACAGTAGTTTTTTTCATATTTATGGTTAATTGTATACTTGCTTCCTTCACAATTATTTCTTGAATAAATGCTCCATTGTATGACAAAGATAAATGAAAATTTGCCCTCAGAAAGCTTATACTCTATATGAAAAAAAAGTGTGGCATGATCACTTACAAAAGCATATATAAATCAGTTGATAAGGAAGTTCAGAAAGTTATTTCTGCAGATATAGGAGTATATCAAGTAAATTTACTGGACAGGTGTTTAGAATTAAATATATTTTGAGGGGCTGGGAAGGTGGCTCAGTGGTAGAGCGCTTGCCTTGCATACCTGAGGCCCTGGGTTCGATTCCTCAGCACCACATAAGCAAAAAGAAAAAAGCCAGAAGTGGTGCTGTGGCTTAAGTGGTAGAGCACTAGCCTTGAGCTGAAGAGCTGAGAGACAGCGCTCAGGCCCAGAGTTCAGGCCCCACGACCGGACCAAAAAAAAAAAATATATATATATATAGAGATAGATAGATATAGATATAGATCTATATCTCTATATAGTGAGAGAGAGAGATTTGGAAGTTCTTTCTACTGTACGAATAAATTGAAAATTCATATTTTTTGTTTGATCATTCATTTCATCCTAAATTATAGATTGGTGATTTATAGAGAAAGAAGATATTCTAGAGAAAACTAATCTATAGTTCTGTACCCAGCTGCTCAAAGACAACGATTATCTATCATGGTTTGTTACACAAGCCAATGATCACGTATCATGTTAGAGATTCCTTTTATACTTCTCAGTTTGTTTAGAAAACTTCCAAAGGGACAAAAATAATTTACCTATTTTTAATAATTATAAAGTCAAGCAGATAAGTGTGACATTCTGTCTAAAAGCATTTCTGGTTCAATGTTGAAGACTTATGGGTTTTCAAAGTAGGGTTTTTAATATAAAGAATATATCTCAACTAGAATTATCTTAAATAATTTATTAAATATCATTGCTTTAGGTATAATTGCTTTAGAAAAGATTCCAGTCTAAGTGTAGTAGCTTAGTAAGTCCTGATAAAATACGTATTATGTGCTTTTAGTCTCTAGTTTTTAGGTCAAATATATCATTTTATCACTTTATTTAAATATATGTAAAGTACTAGATAATTTTAAGCAATATAATACGTGATTCCTGTAGGAGAAAACTAAACTCATTTTCTTTTTAGATCAGTACTATTTATATTTTTACTTGTCTTCCTATTTGAATATTATCAAAGATATTTTAGGATTTAGGATAGTCCATTTCTAAAATTTAAAGCACTGTTTTATTACTACATTTAGCAATAAAGAATTCAAAATCTAAAAGAACTTAAAAAATATGTGTGGATTAAGTTTTGTTTGTTTTGTTTAATGTCTTTCAGAATTAAATGAATTTAGTTCTAAAAGTGTCATTAAAATTTAGGCAAGGAGTCGGGCGCTGGTGGCCCACGCCTGTAATCCTAGCTACTCAGGAGGCTGAGATCTGAGGATCGCGGTTCAAAGCCAGCCCAGCAGGAGAGACCGTGAGACTCCTATTTCCAATAAACCACCAGAAAACCTGAAGTGGCGCGGTAGCTCAAGTGGTAGAGCACTCGCCTTGAGCTGAAGAGCTGAGGGACAGCGCCCAGGCCCAGAGTTCAAGCCCCATGACCGACAAAAAAATAAAAAAAATAAAAAATTTAGGCAAGGGTTGAGAATGTGGCTTAGTGGCAGAGTGCTCACCTTGCCATGCACGAAGCTTTGGGTTCAATTCCTGAGTACCACATAAACAGAAAAAGCCAGAAGTGGCTCTGTGGCTCCAGTGGTAGAGTGCTAGCCTTGAGCAAAAAGAAACTCAGGGACAGTGCCCAGGCCCTGAGTTCAAGCCACAGGACTGGAAAAAAAAATTAGGCAATTTATCTGGGTGCTTGTGACTCATGGCTGTAACCCTAGCTACTTAGGAGGCTGACATCTGAGGACTGAGGTTCAAAGCCAGCCAGGGCAGAAAAGTCCATGAGATTTTTCAATTAAGCCCTCCAAAAGTCAAAAATGGATCTGTGGTTTAAGTGGTAGAGCACTAGCCTTAATTGAAAAAGCTGAAGGACAGTGTCCAGGCATTGAATTCAACTCCAGGACAGGCACGCACACAGACACACACACACACACACACACACACACACACACACACACAGACACACACACACACACACACACACACACACACACACACACACACGCAATTCTTTTTTTCAAATGTCTTTCAAAATGATTTTAGAACACCTGAGAGATACTCTCCTTGCTTGCCTCCCAAGTATTAAAACCTACGATCTCAGTAAATTTGAGTATGATTTTACAATCACTTGTAATAAAATTAACAATTATATTTGCTCTGTGAGAGAAAAATAATTCTCATTTATGTCTCATGATCTAGCAGTATGTTGAAATGTGACAATAAGAGATCCTTGGATGGGGCTGGGAAGGTGGCTCAGTGGTAGAGTGCTTGCCTTGCATGCATGAGGCCCTGGGTTCGATTCCTCAGCACCACATAAGCAAAAAGAAAAAAGCCGGAAGTGGTGTAGTGGCTCAAGCGCTAGTCTTGAGCTGAAGAGCTGAGGGACAGTGCCCAGGCCCAGAGTTCAGGCCCCACAACCGGACCCCCCCCCCCAAAAAAAAAGAGGTCCTTGGAGAAAGAATCATAAAATGTTAGAAACTAGATGGGCTTTTGGGAAGTTATCTTTGTTTTATATAAAGAATATGAGACCCACAGAGTTATATCAAGCAGGCAACCTGCTCTCTAGATTTGAGCCAATTACAACTAAAATTGGGTTACATTAACATATCTACTTTTTTACCTTGTAGTTTCCAAAACAAACACACACAAAGGTTAGTCAACTTGAGCAGAATCTTATCCTTCTAAGTATTATTTGTTGAAACTAGAAGTGTGCTGATAGCTGATTACTAGAGTTGAATAGCACAAATTAGGTGAAAATGGGAGTTCAAAAGCAGATTACTTACAAATTCTTTTAAGTTTTCAAATACTTATTTGCATAGTAGATGAACTCTGTTGTGTATCTAATCCCACTTGAGTGTTCTGTTGAGAACCTTCTTGAGGCCTTGTCAAGGGATACTTTGATATCAAACATAAAAAGGCTATTAGTATCATTTTGTTTCCATCATTCAAAAATTTTCACATTTGGTTTATTTATTACAAGTGCAGCATCTTGAAGGATTGTTAAGTTAACCCTAATGTGAAGTACTATTCTTCTTTACTCTTTAGTTCTGAAATATATTTACATTAAATAAGGAAATACATTTCTGGCTAAGGAATTCTAACTTTACAATCAGATTAAACTTTTCATGCTGTTTGTTGTTGTTGTTGTTTATGCTAGGCAAGCCACTTTGCCAGTGAGCTCTTTCTCCAGACCATCTTACACTATTTCTTAAAGTCTTTTCTCCCCCCATTTCTATTAGGCATTTCTCCCTCTTCCCCCCATCTCAAAACTAAACGTTTTGAATACATTTTATAATGAAAAATATATGTCAGTTCTGGTCTTAATAGAGAAAAAAAGTATTGTTATAATTGGACTGGGCAAAAAAATGAACTTATGCATTTATGGTTTATTACACATGTTCCAATGTTATTTTACTTTTTATACTAGGTCATGCATACATTTAGCAGTTATGTACTTGAAAGGGTGGGTGATATTTACATGCTATGAATTGGTTTTTTTAAACCATTTTCTAAGGATATTTGTTTTCATATACTATTTTGATAATTAGCATCAAAATAAGTTTATTGTACATTCATAAAGAATGGCAAGGAAAATTGCAGTGTTTTCCTCAAATTTGCAAAAATGTTTTTCCTTGAACTTCAGTGCAGAAAGTCAAGGCAATACAGGTGTGTGTGTGTGTGTGTGTGTGTATACATGTGTGTATAAGTTAATTAGAAATAAAATATGTGTAGAAACGGACATTAAAACAGTCTGTTAGCTAAAGATATATTAGACAAGATATATACTTTTAAAATTCATGTAAGTGGTTGGATTTATACCTAGATTTTCTTACATATTGATATCAGTCCTTGCCCTTCCAAGGCAATAAACTTTGTTGTTGTGTGCATGTGAACAGAAGCATGCTCTGTCAAAGAGAACTAGCCTTTCCAAACTACTGCTAAATTTGTTCTTTCATATGGGTATTTAATGATATATTCACTACTATAACAGAAGAAAAAATGAAGGATTTTCTTCTACTGTAACAAGTTTAACACAGGAAAAGTTATAATCTTTAGCCTCTGATTGAATTGTCCATAGCATATTTTTAACTGATAGTATTGAGAGTCGTTCATCTTATTCTTAATTATGCATTCTCGGATGTTTTAGAATGGGTATTTCTGTATTATTATTCAAGTGGGCCTTTGTTAGATTTCAAGCAAGATACCCCCACCAGGTCCTGTTAGCAACTGTATGTTGTAGAAGTTAATAATATATTTTCCTAACAGTTGATTACTGAATCATATTATTATTTTCAAGTTAAACTGTGTTTGAAAGTTAAATAAGGAAAATGTAGCACTTTTAAAATTCAGTTTCAAGCTTCTCACAGAGGACAGAGTACAAATAGAAAAATCAGTTGCTCAAATTTACATAATGTAGAGTTGCTGATATACTGATTATAGCCTTAACTGTTATGTTACACTTTATATTAAAGTTTATTTGAAAACTTATTTAGCCCTGCATTGGTTTTCTTATTTTGCTCACAGACAAGTAAATTTAACCTAAAATATAGATGATGATGATAAACAGGAATGTGTATTCAGAAATCATTGGTAAGATTGATAACAATACATGTGTGTATGTCACAGAGTATACGACTTACTTTAACTGAGTAGCTTTTGATGCTATTCAGAAAACATATTAAAAGTTCTTCATTCAGCTCCTTTGCTTTCCCTTTCTCATTCTTCCTGCCTCTTGCTCTCTTGATTTTAAAATCTTCCTCCTTATTTTGTAGACACTGCTCTCCTGTTCACTACTTCTTCTCTGTCTTTACGTCTCACCACTGGGCCTCTCTCAGTGTCTGTTTTCCCAACCTTCATCCCAAATTCCAGCTGTATATCTACAACCAGTTGGTCAGGTAACTGCACCTTTTTCAGTGCACTCTTTGATAGAGCATGCTCTGTTCTTTTTTAGGTGTTTTTTTTTTTAATGTTTGTTTGCTTTCCTTTTTTTTTTTAACAGCCTGGAGGCCTCTTGTTTTTGTCATATAGATATATAAATTTTATCTTCATTGCTTCTACATTAAACTGACTGACATGGTGATTATTTAAGAGATGAAATGACAGTTCTTACTTTATTATTTTGTTGGATCTATGAATGCACTTTTATTGATAATTATAATCAATATGAGCAGTGCATATTTTATTAGCCTCAATGGCTACATTTAGAAAGAGTTTCGTAGTAGTCATTAATAAAATAATTTTGTCTAGATTAATACTTTCTTTTAATCTTTCAGGCCTAAGATTTAAATGGGTATTTAAGTTCAGAGACCTGATTAAATGGAGAAAACTGAGTCATTTGATGCCTACCTTTACTTTTATATGAATAAAGCATCTGAATGGTACTCAGTGTTTTTTATATTAAAAAAAATTACCATCTAATAATAGGAACCAAAAATCACTAGGTCTGTAGCAAAATCAGATGGAATTTGAAAATAAAAGTCAAAAGGAGATAAAACCATGTTTTTTCTTTGCTTGCTTATTGGGGTGTTTTGAGGATTATTTTTTTCTTCTTCTTGTTTTAGGCCTTTGTTGTTTTGAGTTTTGTGTTTTCTGATCTGAGCATTCAGAATAACTACCTTTTTCTGTTATAAAAATATAATAATCACCTGTAGAAGTGAGGCTCTGAGCCAGGTGCTGATGGCTCACACCTGTACATCCTAGCTGCTCCACATGTTGAGATGCGAGGGTGACTGTTCAAAGCTAGCCCAGCAAGGAAGCCCATGAGACCAAAAAAGCCAAAAACGGAACTGTGGCTCAAGTGGTAGAGCACTAGCCTTGAACAAAAAAGCTCAGAGACAGCACCCAGGCCCTGAATTCAAGCTCCAGGACAAGTGACAAAAAGAAAAGAATCTGAGTTAAAAATTAATCTTATCGGAGCTGGGAAGGTGGCTCAGGAGTAGAGCGCTTGCCTTGCATGCATGGGTTCGATTCCTCAGCACCACATAAGCAGAAAAAGCCGGAAGTGGTGCTGTGGCTCAAGTGGTAGAGCTCTAGCCTTGAGCTGAAAAGCTGAGGGACAGCGCCCAGGCCCAGAGTTCAGGCCCCACAACCGACAGAAAAAAAGAAAAAAAATTAATATTATCAATCATGATTACTCAGAATCTTAAAATATTGTCTGTATAGGTATGTGTGTGTGTATGTGTGAATTTGCCATTGTTTTTCCTTTACTAATCTTTATAAACTATTTTAAGAAAACACAAATTCTCTTATTTCTGACTCATCAATGCTTCTGTTATTTCCAAGCTTTTTTTCAGAGAGTAGTGTGAATGTTTTGCTTTTGTGGATGAGGAATAAGTGAGAGGGATTTCAAAATGACCTGTGCCTATTGGAGTTTTTCTTACTTTTCTTCATGGTGTGACCATAGGTTTCTGACAAAGAGAGAGCAAAAACTAATGCAACGGCGACAACATGCAGAAGAGCTCTTAGAGTGGAAACGACGTTTAGATGCAGAAGAAGCAGAAATTCGTCAAATGGAAAAACAGGCTTTGGCCGCCTGGGACAAAGAACTAATAAAACCCAAAACTCCTAAGAAAGAACTGGAAAGCCAGAGAACAGAACAGAAAGGTAATAGATATAACTCTTCAGGCCACAAACAAGTTTAGCATACTTGAAAGATTTATCTTTTTAAAATATGAATGATTAAAGGTAAAGAAGGCAGTACAACTGCAAAAACTGTGATGTATTTTTTGCTAATACAAACTTGAAACTTGGAGGAAATGGGTAAATTTTTCTAAAAAATTACAATTTGCCAAAGCTTATACAGTAAGAAAATAAGAACTTTTCTAGTTCTTTGACCGTTAAAGAAATTGACCTGCTACTTCCTTCTTGACAATAGTAAGAATTACTTGTGATGCTTTAGAAAGCACTGAGTATCTAACTCTCTGTTATGCACCAGACATGTAAGTATATTACCTTGTCAAAGAGTAAATAATTTATCCTTGTGTGATGAATAAATGAATAAAATCAGTATTATAAAATTACCATTCATTTCATTTAGTTTTACTATCTATTAGTAATAGAATGACCATACAAGAAGACATTAATGATTCTAATTTCAATAGCCAAAGATTTAATCTTGCTTCCTCGTCAGACAATAAGTAACATGTTTGTGAGACTTTTTTAAAAAAGTCTTACCCACTTTTTCCTAGAAATGGAAAGACATCCTTGACTTTAAACTACTACTTGACAAAGAGTAACATGTGTATTGCTTACAATATTCAGAAATGCATACTTTCAAATTAGTATTTGACTTTTGTCAAATATGTTAAACACACTTGATATTAAAGAAGATATTGTTCAGCTGAGTGCTGGTGGCTCATGCCTGTAATCCTGGCTATTCAGAAGGCTGAGATCTGAGGATTGCAGTTGGAAGCCAGTCCAGGCAGGAAAGTCTCTGAGATTTATCTCCAGTTAACTACCAAAAAGTTAGAAGTGGGAGTTGTGTCTCAACTGAGCAGTTAAGCTCAGGGATAGTGTGTGATAATGTGGGATATTTGCACAGAAATGAACAAATAGACTATGGGGAAAAAATTAGCCTAGTAAAAGACCCATGCACCTAGGAAAAGTTGACTTTTGAAACAGGCAGCTTTTACAGGCCTGTCCCTAAGGACAAGAAACGTTTGTAAGGAGGAAATAGTAAAGTTGGATCTATACTTGACAATATTAAAGATGTTCCAAAGGGGAAATAAAAGCTTAAAGGTAAAAACAAAACTATAAAACTTTTGGAAGATAATATAATAAAATATCTTTATCACATCATGGGTAAGGAAAGAATGCTTTAACATGTTACAGAAAGCAAACTGTGATAAAAGATTGATGAATTCCTTCAATAAAGTAATATTTCTTATTCATTAAACACCATAAAGTAAAGCCAAATAAAAGAATGTATTTATATCACATGACTAGCAAAGGAAATATATTATCTTTTTCTTAACTTTTAAAAATGTTGGAGGGGAGGGTTCTATTTCAGTGATTCTTGTTAGGAACAATGTCATAAGTATCTTTATAGCTAGTCAGTCTATGTATGTCTATGATCTATCTGAATACTGAGGCCTTCTGACTTTGTACCTTAACCACGAAGTTTATCTGTGATGTTTCTATTTCAACTTTAAATAATGGTGATTGCAACCTATTTTATGTGCCACTAATGGTTCACAATCCACATCTTAATGTTGCTCAAGGATAGCAGTTCTCAAATAGAGAATTATTTATACACTTAAAACTTACCAGTCAGGAGGCTTCTAAGATGACATAATGGAAACAAGTAACGCTCTGTAGTTTCTGTGAAGCTCAGAAGCAAAAAATATCTAGCAAACAGGTTTGGGGGGTACATATTTAAGTTCAGAATAAGTGCTCAGCTACTACAAAGGAAGACTGCCTATCTATTTATGATAAAAACCCTGTAAAATGATTTTAAAATGAGGGGAATGTGGAAGAGATAAGGAAGAGTAATAGATGGAATGAATTTGATCTAAGTATACTATATGTATGTTTAGGAAGTTATAATGAAACCCTTTTGTACAATTTATGCTAATGAAAAAACTGAGGACTCCAAAGAGATTTAGGTGGTATATTTTTAAATTATTTACCAAACCAAATTAACTAAAACTATTTTAAGTATTCATACATACGTACAAACACACATATGAGGATATAATCTGAGAAGCGTGTTGTTAATAAGTTTCAGCATAGGCTACAGGTCAGTCACTTAATGTAGTCTCTTGATGTTGTCCAAGCACATGGCACTTTTGGGGCATAACATGGCATACTGTTTTACTATAAGTAAGTAAATAAGTGTGAATATTTATCTAGTATACTGGGGATTGATAGTGATAAAAAGTATAATGCATGTGCCAATAATAGCTATTCATTGTATTATTAAGTTTTACCTACTATATATGTGCGATACTTAGCTATCACTGACAGCACTGGTTTGTTTACCCCAGCATCATCACCATCACATGAGTAATGGTTGTACTTCATAACAGCTATGGGCATGGTTGCAGTGAAGCTTCTAGAAAGCAGTATGGCAATTCTTTGTGAAAATTTAAAATGCAGCTGCCTTCTATTCTTGGAGTTCCCCTTTTGGGTGTATATCCCCCAAAAATCAGATAAGCAGTATATCAAAGAGATATTTGTCCATCACTATTTTTAAAAGCATAGGGCTGGGAAGGTGGCTCAGAGGTAGACTGCTTGCCTTGTATACATGAGGCCCTGGGTTCGATTCCTCAGCACCACATAAACAGAAAAAGCCAGAAGTGGCGCTGTGGCTCAAGTGGTAGAGAACACCCAGACCTAGAATTCAAGCCCCACGACTGAAAAAAAAGAGGTGTGTGGGGGGGGACTGGGAAGGTGGCTCAGTGGTAGAGCGTTTGCCTTGCATGTATGAGGCCCTGGGTTCGATTCCTCTGCATCACATAAGCAAAAAGAAAAAAGCTGGAAGTGGCGCTGTAGCTCAAGTGGTAGAGCGCTAACCTTGAGCTGAAGAGCTGAGGGACAGTGCCCAGGCCCAGATTTCAGGCCCCACGACCGGACCCCCCCCAAAAAAGCATTACTCACATTAGCCAAAAGGTGGAAGAAAACCCAAGTGTTGATTGATAGATGAATGAGTAAACAAAGTGTAATAAATATATACAGTGGAATATTGTTTGTTCAGCTGTTTTAGGAGAAATCTAATACACTATACTATGAGAAGTTTGGAGTATGCAAAATTATTACAGAATTTGAACTTGGGTAGGAAGAAACTTCTGTTTATAAATAGTGGTGATAGTGTGAATGTGCATAGTCCCACTGACCTTTAAATGGCCAAATTGTATTGCGTTTTCATTATACTTTTTAAAAATTAAGCTTAAAAAGGAAATATAGAAAAATGGCTAGAAAGACACAGGATCTCCTCCTCCTCCTCCCCCCCCTCCTTCTCCTCCTCTTCTTTCTCTCCATCTCTTCCACTGCCTCTCATCCTCTCTCCCTCCTTCCCTCCTCCCCTCTCCTTCTCTCCAAACTTGGCTTCCACTGGTTTACCGTGGTTGTGTGGAAGTTGGACAGGTGAAAGTGCTTGGGAATGAGTATATGAATGAGTCACTATATGTTCTGTACTCTTTGAAGTTTCTTTTTTTGTACTGCTTTAAAACTTAAAACGATGACAAAAATCTTTCATAGAAACATCTGCTCAAATAGGAGTAGTAAACAAATGACTTTCATTTACTGCTTAGTTTTTATATTATTTGAATTTTGAAGTGAGTTACTGTGTTACTGTTACCACACAAAACCTGTATACCTGTTGACAGGAAATGGAGAGGTGTGAAGGATTATATTTCCTCCTGCTTAAATATTAAAACATTTCTAAACTGTTTTTAGTTGTACCCACATACCATCTTTGTATAGATGGATTATCTCTGATTTTTTAAACTTACTCATTTACTTATTCAGTCTGATTATACTATGCATTCATAATTTTTTGCATGTGATAATAGGGTTTGAATTCATTGGGCATTTACTACACAAGTGCTTTACCACTGGAGATACCAGCCCTTTTTGCTTTGGTTATTTTTGTTTAATTTTTTTTATTGTAAAGATGCTGTACTGAGGGGTTTCAGTTACATGAATAAGGTAATGAGTACATTTCTTGTCAAACATTGTTACCCACTTCTTTGTTGTTTTCCCACTTATCCCTTCCCTCCTCCACTCCTTCCCCCATCCCCCGAAGTTGTATCTTTGTTGCAATGGGCTTTGTCCTTCTTTCAGCATTTTGTTATTCCCCTTCCTTCCCCAACTCAGAAAAATGTATATACAAGACAGAGGGTACCAGAATTCCCAGACCCTGATTGCCAGGGATGGGAACAACAGGTCTTTCTTTTCTTTTTGGTTGTTGACCTTGTGCCAATGTACTGTTCTTTCTTCTTTCTTGTCTTTTCCATTCGTTTATCCCTGTCAATCACTGTCTTTGATTTTGGTTATTTTTAAGGTAGGGTCTTGTTTTATGCCTAGGCCAGGCTGGACCATGATCGAAAGATCTGTGCTCCCCATATATGGGATGACAGGTGTTCCCAGCCATGGTGTTCACCCTGTAGCTGGGATGACAGGCACACATCACAGTGTCCAGTCATTGGTTAAGATGGAGTCTCGCAAACATGTTTCCCAGGTTGGCCTCAAAGTCCAGTTCCTTGACCTCTGCCTAGGTATCTATAGTGTTACAGGTGAACCGCTATGCTTAGTTTACACACATATAATATTTATAATGGTATATTTAAATATTTGAGTATATGAAACTTAAAGGCTTTTAATGGTCACTTTATGTAAATATATCTTACCCTCTTCAAACTAGGTGGTAAAGAGCAGAGTGTGAACCTGAATTTGGCCAGTTCAAGCACATGAGTAGAGACTGTTGGTTAGGATAAGTAGCCTGCTTCTTGCTCTATGTGTGCTTGCCAGATTTTTGGCTGATGACACATACACCCTTATGCAGAAGTAAACTTTGCCTTGCTGAGTGGGGGGGGGCAGATTTTTTTTAGTGTCATACCTTTGTTTACTTAAATAATATATTTTTTCAAGTACATAGATTTTTTTATATTAAATAATCCTATTTTATAGATTTTAGATAGAGAATATTAATTTATAAACCTTAAAATCTTAAATAATTTTTAAAATCTTAAATAATTTTTAAATTAAGTATGTTAAATGTTAGTAGTATTTACTTAAGTATGATGTTATAACTTAATCCTTTTAAAGCATTGTACCTACAAAGGCAAAGAAAGAAAACAATGTATATTTTAACATTGTTCAAGTGTCTCAGCATTTTTTAGTTTTGTTCAAACATAATTTTGTTTTCTTGGGAGGTGCAGAGTCAAAAACAAATTCTAGAGATGAGACCAATGTTGGAAGACAATTTTGAAAGTACAAAATAGAATGCATGCTTGCATCTCTGCTTCCATATTTTTAGTGCTGTATAATATCTAATGTAGAAATACACAATTCCTTTCCTGTCAAGAGATTTCAGGTTTCTGGTTTTTTTTTTTTTTTATTCTATACCAATCTTGCCACTGAACTTGTCTCTAGAATGTTTATCTAGGAGTGGAATTCCTCAGTCATAGAGTATGTGTTTTCATGTGTGTGGAAGGATGTGGGGATTTGGGGGCTTAAACACGGGGCCTTGATACTGTCCTTGAGCTTTTTGGCTCAAGGTTAGCACTCTACCATTGGAGCCACAGCACCAGTTCTGCTTTTTTGGTGGTTAACTGGAGAGAAGAGTCTCATGGACTTTTCTGCCCAGGATGATTTGAACCATGATCCTCATATTTTAGCCTGTAGGTGGGAGCTGGTGCCCAGCCATGTTTTCATCTTTAAGTAATTCTTTTTCCAAAATGATTGGGCCAATTCCACTGCTAAAGGAATATATGAGCCATAATTGTTCTGCATTCCCACAGGAGATTATAATTATCATTGCTAATTATATATGGTAAATAACTTCTCTCAGGACTGGTAAGAAGGACCTCAAGTGGTAGAGTGTGCTAAAAAAAACTTTCTGTTGGTGTCAGTCATAATTCTTAAAACTTTATAGTGAAAATTAGATGTCATGGTAAAAAGATTTTATGTAAATAGAGCTAGTGATTTTATGTTGAGAACAAATGTAACATATAATAGTTTGATTTTTTCCATTGATTGAGATCATAATTATTTTTTTTTGTTTTTACCTTTTCTTTCCAGACATAGTGAGTGAAGAGGAATCTCCAGTACCTTCCTATTCTCACCGAAACAGTGAAAGCAGTATTCCAGAAGAGCTAGGCAGCCCTGCTGTTCTGTATATGCCATCTGAGGCAGGAGCACAGGAGCAGCCAGGGAGCCCAGATCGTAGTGTACTTACTGAAGAAATGGTTTGTTCACAGGAATTAGAATCTTCTACCTCTCCTAGTAAACATGTACGTTAACATACACTTACATTCTAAGGCTTTTTTAGAAAAAAAAAACTTGTTTAGAAGATACATTAATAGTTACATTATTTCTTTTCTTCTCTTCCCCTCTAGTGCTGGGCTGTGAACTCAGGGCCTCATACTTTCTAAGCAGGTGTTCTGTCATTTGAGCCATGTCCCTAGCCATTTTGTGTTATGTCCTGGGCCATTATCCTTTTATTTAAGCTTCCTCTGTAACTGGATAGTAGGTACACACACTCTTTGTTGAGATGATGCGGGATCTCACTTAACTTTTTTGCTCAGGCTGGCCTTGATCTGTAGTCCTCCCCATCAGAGTCTCCTAATTAGAGATGTGAGCTGAAATACTTAGAGATAGTTACCTTTTTTCTATTAATAATAAGCCTTGACTATCACTTATATAAGATATAACATGAATACATAAAACTTAACTCATACAGACTTATAAACATATGAACTATGGCTTTAGTGGGAGTTATCGGACTGGTGATTTGTACATTTGAAATAGTCCTGATAATAATAGCCTTGTATAAATAATTTACTTGTAGCATAATTCTTACCTTCTAGGAATTTGTAACTACAAACTCTGCATTTTGACACAATCTTAATAGTTTCTAAGTGCCTATAAATTTATTAGATCTTCCCTGGCATTACTGAAGTTACTAATTGAATACTAAATATTAGGCTTTTATTTTTTACAAGAAATTTTATCAAAATTCATTTTTATAAAAAAGCTAATATTGGTCCTGGTGGCTCATCTCATGCCTGTAATCCTAGCTACTCAGGAAGCTGAGATCTGAGGATCGTGGTTCAAAGCCAGCCCGGGCAGAAAAGTCCATGAGACTCTTTTTTTTTGGGGGGGGGGTCTGGTCGTGGGGCCTGAACTCTGGGCCTCTGTGCTGTCCCTCAGCTCTTCAGCTCAAGGCTAGTGCTCTACCGATTGAGCCACAGCGCCACTTCCGGCTTTTTTCTTTTTGCTTATGTGGTGCTGAGGAATTGAACTCAGGGCCTCAGGCATGCAAGGCAAGCGCTCTACCACTGAGCCAACTTCCCAGCCCCTCCATGACACTCTTATCTCCAATAAAGCACTAGAAAACCGGAAGTGGTGCTGTGGCTCAAGCGGTAGAGCACTTGCCTTGAGCTGAAGAGCTGAGGGACAGCGCCTAAGCCCAGAGTTCAAGCCCCACAATTGACAAAAAAAAGAAAGAAAATTGAACTTGTATGCTTTATTGAGCTTATGAACTTTTGTTGTTGTTGTTCCATAGAATTATTTAAAACTTCATAAATGTCTTTGTGTGGGTGCCAGTCCTGGGCTTGACTCAGAGTCTTTCCCTGAGCTTTTCTGCTCAAGGCTGACACTCTACCACTTAAGCCATGGTTCATTTTCTGACTTTTTGGTAGTTAATTGGAGATAAAAGCCTCAAGGATTTTTCTGCCCAGCTGGCTTAAAACTGCAATCCTTAGATCTTAGCCTCCTGAGTAGCTAGGATTTCAGGCATGAGCTACCAGTGCCTGGCTAAAACTTAATAATTTTTGTTGTTGTTGTTGGTCATGGGGCTTGAACTCTGGGCCTGGGCACTGTCCCTCAGCCTTCAGCTCAAGGTTAGTGCTCTACCATTTGAGCCTATAGCCCCACTTCGGTTAATTGGAGATAAGAGTCTCGTAGAATTTCCTACTCATGCTGCTTTGAACTGCAATCCTCAGATCTCAGCCACCTGAGTAGCTAAGATTACAAGCATGAGCTGCAGGTGCCCAGCATAATTTTAATTAGCTAGTATTTCAGTGAAGAGAGATGTATTTGAGATTGAATTCTGGGCCTTGTTCATAGAAGCAAGCACTCAACCTCTGAATTCAGTCCCAGCTCCAGCTGTCCAATCTCAGTTTTTAAATAGAATTTCACAACTATATCACAAAATAATTCCCACTTGGTGATTTTTCTGTTTGAACAGTCACCTCCCAAAAGCTGCGCATCTGTGTCAAAGCAGGACTCCAGCAAGGGAAGTCACAGGACTGGAGGACATCGTCTGACTGCAAAGTCCCATCAACACTGTTATAGTTGGTCAGATGAGTCATTGTCTATGACACAGTCAGGTAAGGCTCATGAAGAGGAGTTTCTTTTCTTAGTATTATATTTGGGTTCATCTTTAATAAGCTTGTCTAACCATATACTAATATATTATCTTTTTTAGTGTTTGTATAGGCTTTATTCTTGTTGGCATTGAATCATAGAATTATTCATTCCTCACTGATCATTTTATCTCTAATTCCATAAAACAAAGTTCTATAAAATTTTGTTTTTATTCATTAGTGGACGGTTATTCAATAACATGTTTACGTTTTTCTTTGTCTGCTTTAGGCCCGTTCATAACAGAATTTATAAAGAGACTGCCCCGATCCCCCTTCTAGACTGTAAACTTATAGGGCGAAGACTCGGTGTTTTATTAACATTTGTAATCACCCTGGCCTCATGGGAACTCAGTGCTGAAGTAGATGTGTATTGAATATTTATTGTTTGAATTAATGATAACCATGAGGAAAAATAGAAAACAGTAAGATAGCACCAATTCAAAAGAAAAAAGATACACTAAGGGAGCATTTTCTATATGGTATATGCGTGTGTGCATGTGTGCATGTATGCATGTGTTATTTAATTAATGAGCTGCTTCACTCCTGTAATTTTAACACTCAGGAGACAGAGACAGAGGATCACAAATTCAAGGCTAGTTACATAGAGCTACATGGGGAGTTCCAGGTAATCCAGAGCTGCACTGGGAAACCTTGTATCCAAAACAATAAAAAAGTTAAAACAAGAATGGTAGCCTCTTCTCTGAAAGGATTCAAAGAAGTTGTTGAAGCATATCTAGAGAGACAGTGCAGGGTTTGAGTAGAATTATAAAAATTAATCATTTATTGCATATTGTTATATTGATTATTTTAATAGGCATGTTAAGTATATTGCCTTTGAGCTCAGTTATGGTTTCCAGAGAGACATTTAGTAAAGAAAAAATGAAAATTGGTTTGGTTTTTGTTGATAGTGGTGGTTTGGTATTATTTTGTTCTACTTTTTTGGTCTTTATCTCCGAAATATACTCCTGACCATGTTTGAACACTGTAGATCATGGGAATTTTCTTAAGCCCATACTTAATAGATCTCCTTTATTCCTTGTGTAACTATGCAATATTTTTTTTGGGGGGGGAGGTCTGGTCGTGGGGCCTGAACTCTGGGCCTGGGCCCTGTCCCTCAGCTCTTCAGCTCAAGGCTAGCGCTCTACCACTTGAGCCACAGCGCCACTTCCGGCTTTTTTTCTTTTTCCTTATGTGGTACTGGGGAATCGAACCCAGGGCCTCAGGCATGCAAGGCAAGCACTCTACCACTGAGCCACCTTCCCAGCCCCATATACAATATTTCAAAGGGTAGATTATAATTTAATTATTTTCCTAAGGCTGATTTATAATATAATATCTTTAAATGTGTTGACCATATAGATTCTTTGAAATCGAATTATTATTATTATTTGGTGCTGGTACTAAGACTTGAACTCAAGGCCTGGAGCTTTTTTGCTCATTCCTACCACTTGAGCCACCACTCTACTTTTTTATTTTTGCTGGTTAGTTGTACTGAAAAGTCTCACAGACTTTGCTGCTAGGGCTGGCTTTGAACCACAATACTCAGCTGTCAGCTTCCTGAGTGGCTGGGATTACAGGTGTGAGTCACCAGAGTCTTGCTTCTTCTACAAAATCTAACAAGATAACAGCTCAACTTTTAGAAGCAAATGGATTTCTTTACCAACTTCACCAAAAACTAAACTATGGCTATATAGAATATTTGTTTTGTGCTAATATTATTACTATAGTTTTTAAATAAAATATACAGATAATTTTATTTGGCAGAAGTTGTCTATATATTATGTACAATAATGTGATTTAAAAAAAAACTATACATTGTAGATGTTAAATTGAGCTCTTTAACATGCACAGTACTTCATATAATTATTCTTGTAAGAAAATCTAAAATATTCTTACATTGTTCCAAACTATAGTTACCACAGTATAATGGTAGATGTCTGGAACTGATCTTTTCCTGCTTAACTGAAAATGTATATCCTTTGAATCTTTTCACTAATCCCTGATTGAACCCCATTCCAGCCACTATACCATTATACTTGTTGCTTCTGTGATTGTTTTTTTGCATTTAACATATAAATGAGATCTTGTGTTTCTGTGCCTGGCTTATTTGTCGTAACAGTAATATCCTCTAGGCTCATCCATGTTTTTGGTAATGATAGTGTTTCCTTTTTGTGTGTTAGACTGAGTAGTATTCCATTGTGTATATATCACATTTTCTTTATCCATTCTATTCATGATGAACACTTAAGTTGATTTATATTAGCTTTTATTAAATTCGAGGCACTATGCCACACATTGTTTTTTTTACATACCTTATTTAATTACATCAATTTGAGAAAATTTTCTGGATCACACACCTAAGTAGTAGGTCCAGAGTTTATAAATGGTCTTTTTTGTTGGTGGTGGTGATGGTCGTGGGGCCTGAACTCTGGGCCTGGGCACTGTCCCTCAGCTCTCCAGCCCAAGGCTAGTGCTCTACCACTTGAGCCAAAGCACCACTTCCAGCTTTTTCTGCTTATGTGGTGCTGAGGAATCGAACCCAGGACCTCATGCATGCAAGGCATGAGCTACCTTTCCAGCCCCTGGTCTCTTTTTTTTTTTTTAACTGCATTTGAGTGTTGATCAATAAACAATAAACTTTGTCCATGATAAACTTTAGTATAGTGGTACTATTGGAAAAGACTTACTGGTAACTTCAGGCAGTGTGATAGAAGTGACAGCAACTCACTGTATTCTATCCTGAAGTATTTGGATCACTCTTTTAAATTGAGTTTAAACTTTTTACATTTAAGTGAATTCTTTAACTAATTCTTATGCAATTTAATCTAAAGTTCCTGATTTTAAAAAAACTAGTTTTATTTATTTATTTATATAGTCGGCCATGGGGCTTGAACTCTGGGCTTGGGCGCTGTCCCTCAGCTCTTCTGCTCAAGGCGAGAGTGCTCTACTGCTTGAGCCACAGTGCCACTTCCAATTTTCTAGTGGTTTATTGGAGATAAGAGTCTCACGAACTTTCCTGCCCGGGCTGGCTTTGAACCGTGATCCTCAGATCTCAGCCTCCTGAGTAGCTAGGATTACAGGCGTGAGCCACTGGCACCGGTTAGTTTTATTTTTTATGATGTAATATTGCACTACACATCTGAGTCCTTAGATTTCTGCTGTAGAGCTAGTAAATATCTCACTCAACCTTAGGATGTGGAAATAATATCAGGGTGTGATTGTAGGAGATGTCAGAAGCTTATCTTTTTGCTATATAGTTTCCATGTATAGTGTAATAACCATTTTAAGTAATAACTAATTTTTGTTTCCATAGCATATGTGTGACACATGAAATATTTTTCATAATGTTGCCATTGCACAATCTTATCTATGTATAAGCTGTTGAGAAAACAAAATTTAACCAGCTTTATTTCAATAATTTTAAATATTATAAAAGCTTTCAAAGAAAGATTGTATCACAATATATTTCTCTTTCTCTCTCTTGGCAGTACTAAGATTTGTATTCTTGGCCTTGTACTTGCTTTGCTAATATTCTACTGTTTGAGTCATGACTCCAGTCCATTTTTTGCTAGGTGATGGAGATGGAATCCCACAGATTTTTTTTTCTGCCTGGGTTGGCTTTGAATAACAATCTTCTAGATCTCATACTCCTGAGTAGCTAGGATTATAATTAGGAACCATAGGGGCCCATCAGTTTGTCTCTTTTTTATATGGTATAAAGATGTTAGCCAATGACTTCCAGTATATTTGAAATGACAAATTTCTAGTTTGATTTTAATGACTTTAAAGTATTTATCTATATATTAATAACTGAAAGTGTAGTTGAATCTTGCCACCAGAGTAATTCTTTCACAATACGCAAATTTCACAAACCTAAAAGTTTTCAGCTTTACCTCTATATATATTGCTAAATCAAATCTCAAGATTTATTTACAATTTGAATGGGTAAATTTTTTCAATTGATTGGGCTGGGTTCTAGTGGCTCATGCCTATCTATGATCCTAGCTATTCAGAGGCTATTCTGAAAATTGCAATTTGAAGCCAGCTGAGCCAAGAAAGTTCATGAGATTCTTAGCTCCTATTAACTAACTAAAAGCCAGAGGTTTCTGGGCATCGGTGGCTCATGCCTGTAATCCTAGCTACTCAGGAGGCTGAGATGTGAGAATCACAGTTCAAAGCCAGCCCAGACAGGAAAGTCTGTGAGACTCATCTCCAAAAAACCATTCAGAAAACGGGAAGTGGTGCTGTGGCTCAAGTAGTAGAGTGCTCACCTTGAGCTGAAGAGCTGAGGGATAGTGCCCAGACCCAGAGTTCAAGTCCCATGACCAAATAAACAAACAAACAAAAAAAGCAGAGGTGAGCTGTGGCTCAAGTCATAGAGGGCCAGCCTCCAGCAGAATGTTTAGGAACAGTGCCCAGACCCAGAGTTCAAGCTCCTGTACTGGAAAGAAAAAGAGAGGGGGTGGGGAGGAAAGAACAGAGAGAGGGGAGAAAAGAGAGGAGAGAGGAGATGGGGAGAAAAGAGAAGAGAGAGGAGAGGTAGTAAAAAACAAAACCAGGGAAGAAAAGAAGGATTTATGGAAAAGAAAGGATATGTTTCAGAATATTTTTTTCAGAAGCTCAAACTCTCCAATTTCAAGTATTGATTTAAGTGAAATATTACAGTTTTACATTAGTAGAGTTAATTTTATTCTTGAATTAAATAAAATTTTTTCTGTCTTTTAGAAACTACATCTGACCAAAGTGACATTGAAGGTAGAATCAGAGCTCTGAAGGATGAGCTGCGGAAAAGAAAATCAGTTGTGGACCAGTTGAAGAAGGAACAGAAAAAAAGACAAAAGGAAAGACTAAAAGCCCAAGAGGCCAGTCTGCTCAAACAATTAGAGGTTAGACATAGGGCAAAAGTAGTTAACATCAAAGCTAATCAATCTGTGGCGTCCAAAATGTTTTTAATGTTAGTAAAGCAACAAATTGAGTTTTTTCAGACAAGGGACATGGCTCAAGTGATAAAGCACTTGTCTATAAATAGGAACCCCTGAGTTCAATTCCCAGTATTTTTAAAAAAAATTTTTAATTGTTGTAATTTTTGTCTCTTGCCAGTTCTGGAGCTTGAACTCAGAGCTTGGCACTGTCTCTGAGCTTCTTTGCTCAAGGCTAGTGCTCTACCACTTTAAGGCACAGCTCCACTCCAGTTTTCTGGTAGTTAATTAGAGATGAGACTCACAGATTTTCTTTCTAGAGCTGGCTTCGAACTTCAATCTTCAGATCTCAACCTACAGAGTAGTTAGGATTACAGTCTCAGGGTTGTTTTGTTTTGTTTTTAAGTTTTAAATTATTAGTGGTGGGTCTGGGAAGGTGGCTTAGTGGTAGAGTGCTTGCCTTGCATGCATGAGGCCCTGGGTTCGATTCCTTAGCACCATGTAAGCAGAAAAAGCCGGAAGTGGGGCTGACACTCAAGTGGTAGAGCGCTAGCCTTGAGCTGAAGAGCTGAGGGACAGGGCCCCGGCCCAGAGTTCAGGCCCCACGACTGACCAAAAAAATATATATATATATTATTAGTGGTGTCACATTCTATCCTCTTTAAAAAAAAAAAAAGAAACTAAAGATACCTAAGTGTCTAAGTGAGGGTCTGCTTAAAACATAAGTATTTCCTGGCGCCAGTGGCTCACGCCTGTAATCTACTCAGGAGGCTGAGAACTGAGGATCATGGTTCAAAGCCAGCCCGGGCAGGAAAGTACATGAGACTCTTATCTCCAATAAACCACCAAAAAACCAGAAGTGGTGCTGTAGCTCAGGCCCAGAGTTCAAGCCCCACGACTGACAAAAAAAAAAAAACACACACACACACAAAAAACCCATAAGTATTAAAATATTGAGGGGACTGGGCTCTGGTTGTACATTGGAGAGGTGGTAGTTTCTCTGTATAAAGATTGCCAACTAAGGAATAATTGAGTGTTCAAGATGCATAGAATTCAGTATTATTATTACTTCAATTAAACATACTAACTTTTACTTTGCTTTTGAGGAACCATCTTTTCAAAAAATTAAGGGTAGGAAAGTATCAGATTGAACAGTGATGTAAACATGATAATGTGAGGAAACACAAGTAGGAGACTGGAAGCTCAGGCCGGCCTCAGGCATAAAATAAGAAATACTGTACCTTCAAAATCACTTCTGTAGGACTGGGAAGGTGGCTCCGTGGTAGAGTGCTTGCCTATCAGGCATGAAACCCTGGGTTCACTTCCTCAGTACCACATAAACAGAAAAAGCTGGAAGTGGCTTTGTGGCTCAAGTGGTAGAATGCAAGCCTAGAGCAAAAGAAGCTCAGGGACAGTGCCCAGGCTCTGAGTTCAAGCCCTATGGACTGGCAAAAAAAAAAAAAAAAAAAATCACTTTCATGAAAAGAGACTGGATGTATGGCTCACATAGCAAGTGTGAAGCCATGAGTTGAAACCTAGTAAGGCCTCTGCCCAAAAAAGGATTGTATAAAAGAGTTTTAACCCAGATTCCAGGGACTTACAGCATTTGACAGTCATCTTCCCATGTTCATTCAAATTTATTGGCAGTCTAGGATAGACATTGTGCAGAGATGCTGAGTATACAGTGCTAAACAAATGGCTGTCTACCAAAGAGTTAAGCAGCCACCAACTTCAACTCAGAAAATTAGCTTCACTCATTTTTTATAAATTGCAACAATATATTTTTATAAATTAGTGAAGCTTTGTTTGTAGAATCAGCATTAACCAGTAAACATTTTTTGGCAATTCCCAACCGTTATATTCCTAAACAGCCCCCTTCCCTTTTCAAAATTTGTTAAGAAACATACTGTAAGTGAAACTCAGAGCCAAATGACTAAACTTCTTAAAAGTACTATGAAATTAATAATATATCCTTTAGAGAACAGTAATATAAGTGCTATTTTTACTGGGAATGAATTATTGTTTCACAGTTATTAAACTATTAGATTGCAACTTTTTTTTTCATTGCTGGAGCCTTCAAGGGTGTGCCAGGAGGGAGATTTTTATATTGTCCATTTTTACTGGTTATGTGTATGTACACCAGACTTGAGGTTAGGACTCAGATTCTGGGCTTTTTTTTCCCCTCAAGGCTAGAACTGTACTACTTAAGCCACAGCTCTACTACTTCCTGTGTGTTTTTTTTTTTTTTTTGTCGATCGTGGGGCTTGAACTCTGGGCCTGGGCGCTGTCCCTCAGCTCTTCAGCTCAAGGCGAGCGCTCTACCACTTGAGCTACAGTGCCACTTCCAGTT